ATTTATAAATTTGCCGGAATTTTTACTATGATTTTCGTAATTGCTACATTAAAATAAATAAATATTAATTAGTATCAAATAAATCTGAAGTATTTACGATCGAATACAAACAATTTTAAAAATAAGATTTTAATCATTAAATTGCAAAAAAAAAAATAGTAAATTATTTGATTTTTTGCATCAAAATTTTCGAAAAGTTCAGTTTTGAGAAACACAATTTCAAATCAAATCTTTTAAAATTTTTTCACATACATATTAATCATTTGATTTATCAATTAAAACCTCTTACAATAAACACGACTTTGATTGCATAATGGATTTGCTCATTGGACAACCTCTATAGAAGCGTGAATCTCCAACACTGAAATTAAAAAATTAATTTCTTAAATGAACGATTTCATCTCAAATCATGCAGAAAGTCCGATCTGTTTTTTTACTTGAAAAATAAAGAGACACGCATTTCTTTAAATTTGCATGTTTTTTTTAGTTTTTACAAATGTTTTTAGATTTTGTCAAAAAAATTATTAAAAAAAAAATTGTTTCTTTAAAATCTTATAACTTCTGCACTTTTAATGGTATTTGAGATAGTTAAAAGTTTCCATACAGTTTATGTAATTTGATAAAATTAATTTTTTTTTTAATTTTATGAACAAAATACAAATTTTGTACCATAATAGCCCCAAACGCGGAGCTATTGTTACAAACTTTGAGTTTATATAACTAAGATCAAAATTTTTTTTCTAATAAAACTTTGAGAAAATCTTTAGAAGGATGTCCACAACCATAATAGCCCCGGATGACGGTCATTCTATAAAAATATTATCAAGAAAATTTATTTCCAACATATCATAATCGAACTAGCAAAATTAAACGCGCGCATGCGCGCCAAATTGAGTATTTAATTTTTTGTCATAAAGAAATTAAAGATTAATATTATCAATAATACTTTAATTTATTAGAATATTATTATATATTAAATGATAATAATGAAAATTATTTGTTTACAGGCCTCGGATTATACGACTTTTTCCGACTTTTTTCAAAAATACGACTTTTATCGACTTCTTTTAATAAAACGCGACATTTTTTTTTACATTTGAAAAAAAATGTAAATAAAATACATTTTTTTAGTATAAAATTTATATCTTCTTCAGATCTTCTTCAATTCAATTATTTAACAAATTTTGAACTAAAATGATTCTTCACTAAATTAATTATTTTTAATAATTTTAATGAAATACATCACAAATTCAATTATATCAAAATTATTTTTCAATTAAAATTTTTATGAAATTTAACAATTGTTTATAATAAACTAAAATTCAATTATTACCCGAAATTTTAATTCAAAATCAATTAAAAATCCAATAATTATCCAAAATTTTCAATTTAAAATTTAATTATTTACCAAGTTTTTAATTTAAAATGAAATAAAATTCAATTATTTTCTAAAATTTCTATTCAAAATTAATTATCCAAATTTTCAATCAAAAATGAACTTAAATTAAATTATTATCCAAAATTTCAATTAAAATTCAATTATTTCCCAAAATTTTCAATTCAAAATGAACTGAAATTCAATTATTTTCCAAATTTAAAATCAAATAAAATTTCATTATTCTCAAAAATTTGAATTCAAAATTAATTGAATTTTCAATAATTTGAATGTAAAAGGATCTAAAATTTAATTATTTCTAAAATTTTTTATCGTAAATTTTTTTTTTTGAAATTTAATAATTTCAATTATAATTCTAAGGAAATTCAATTATTTTTAACTATTTTAATAATATTCTTTGAAAATTCAACTATCTGAAACCATTTTTCAATTAAAAATTATTTTCAAATTATTGTATTTTGTCCGCATTTTCTAATAAATTTTTTAGTGTAATTATCAAAAATTTTAATTAAAAATCACTTAAAGTTTCAATTAATTTCAAAAATCTCAATTTTAAATCTTTGAAAATTCAATTAAATTTAAAAAATATTTTCCAAAAATTGTTTGATAAATTATTTTTAGTTCTGTAAAATTTAATAATTGTTTGAAAATTAACAATATCTTTTGAAATTTAATTATTTCTAAAAATTTCAACTTTAACCCTTCGAAAAGGATTATTATTTTAAAAAAAATTTTTTTATTTAAAAATCTGTAAAATATTTTTGTTAAAATAAAAAACAAATACACTTTTTTTTGGAATATAAATCGACTAAAACTACTTTTTGTGTCTTTAAGTTGATTCGAGGCCTGTATTTTTATAATTAATATTTAATAGGTATTCGTTGGCCCCTGGTACCTTAAAAATTAATTTTTTTCAAATTACTATCTTGTACGAAATTTCCTGGCGCATCTTTTTTCTCATCATAAATTTTTTGTATTTGTATACAATTTTTGAATCAATTTACAACTTTAAAAAAAATTTCGTTGGTAAACGTTGTGTACTTCAGCTTCGTGAATTGAATTTTCGAATTTGGAATTTTAAAGAAACTTATTACGAAATTTGGAAACACAATTATACAACTTTGGCAAAAATGAGAAAAAGAATTGTCAAAATTTGACACGTCATAAGATTACTATTAAAAAAAACACGTGAAATCAGAAAAGGCCAACTTCAAGTTAGGACAGAAGGACAGACCAAGCATTTTATTATTTTATAATTTTAAGAAAAATTTCCAAACTTTTAATTAAGTTCAATAAATTTATAAAAAAAATTCTTAAAACTCCATTTTTTATATTTTTTGAAATCTGATTTTAATAATTTATTCAAATTTAAAATTTTTGCATAGTTTTTAGTTTTAATGGTATTTTTAAAATTAAAATTCTGTCAACAGTACAATTTTGGAGTTTCTGTTTGAAACTTTTTTTTTAAATAATTAAATTTTTAAAGAAATATTAAAATTGTTAAAAATAATTATAACCTTAGAAAAGTTATGGTTGAAATTTTTAGAAATATAATAAAATTTCAAAATATTTTATTAAATTGCAGAAAATAATTAAATTTTACAGAATTAAAAATAATTTATCAAATAATTTTAGATAACATTTTTTAAAAATAATTGCATTTCGAAAGAGTTACAGTTGAAATTATTAAGTTTTATAAAAATTTAAGATGGAAAATTTTAGAAGTTTTTAAATTGAAATTTTTGAAAATAATTGAATTTAAATCTTTGGTGATATTATTTGATGACTTTTTTTTTAAATTTAAAACAATTATTGAATTTCATACAATTTTTAATTGAAAAATAGTTTAAGATAATTGAATTTGTGAAGAATTTTATTAAAATTATTTAAAATAATTAATTTAGAGAAGAATTTTAGTTGAAAATTTGTTAAATAAGTGAAATAAAGAAGATCTGCATTCTATACTACAAAATATGTATTTTGTTTAAAAAATATAGTAAAAAATGTAAAAAAAAAAGGTCGAAAAAGTCGTATAATCCGAGACCTGAAGTATTAATTTTTGATACTTTAAATTATAAGAATTTTATAATATATAGATGAAAATTATTATTTTTTCTTTTTAAATAAAAATTAAATATTTTAAAGTATTTTAGTATTTAATAAAATATTGAAATTAAAAATATATTTGAGAAAAATGAAATGAAAGCTTAGAAATGAAATTAAAAAATTAATATTACTTACTAGTACTTATCAACATCTAAAATTGTCCTATATTTTATGCAATCTTCGATAAATTTTACATCAAATACATATCCATAATTAGAATTAGGAACTGGATTTGTAAATGTGAGAACATTCGGTGCAGCATTCTCTATAATTTTCCCTCCATTAACCTAAGAATTTAATTTTAATTTAATTTCATATTTTTATTTGCACATTGAAAAAAATACTTGGAATCATCCAAATTTTTTACAGGGTACTCTCATATTAAAAAAAATATATATTCAATTGTAAGTTATTCAGATTGTATATAAAAAAAAATTCATTCAAATTAGATAAAATTTAATTTATTCTATATTTTTATCATAAATTGTAAATTTTAAACTAATCCATTAAAATTATATTGTGAAATGAATATGCAAAGTAAAATATAATAAAAAATAAGCCCGCGTATATTTAATGATTACAATTTTTGAGGTTATTTTTACTTACTACAATCAAATTTGTGAACTTCTTCATATCGAAATCAGACAATTTCGCCAAATGAAAGTGCATTTCACATCCATCTGGTCGACGAAAAAGAAGTCTCATTTTTTGTGTATTTATAATTTTTTTTTAAATTTATGTTTATAACGTAAGAACTGACAGGAATTAACAATTCAACCTGTCATCAATGTTTTTAATTGAACATAATAATTTTTGTCTTCAATTTAGTCAATATTCATACAAAATATAAAATAAAATTTACAAATTTTTCAATTTAATTATTGAAATATATTAATTTATTTTATAAGTAAATAGAAAAAAAATAGAAAAAGCACAATCATAAAACTTTGTTTTGACACATGAAAGCAAAATTAGTTATGTGCGCATCTCTATTGCGCATATTGCGACTTTAGTCAGTTTTGTTCATTCCAGACAAAAATAAAACTGTTAATTATATTTTTTTCAATTTCCTGATAAAATTTTCATTAATTTTATTTAAAATTTATTTATTTTGATCGTTTGTTGAAAATGTTAAAAATCATTTTCTTTATATTGCGAAAAATAGAGAAAATTATATGAAATCTCGAATCATGAATCGATTAGCATTGGCGGGAAAGTAGAAATGTTTCTGATTCGTCAATATTTCAGGTATTGTTCCCACCACTTTTTAAAATTGTAAAATAATTTTGAATTATTCAATTTCTAAAATTGAATAAGAAAAAAGGAAATAATAATTTCTTGATAAAAAATAGTAGGAAATGTTTATTTTTTAAAAAGCAGAACTCAAATTTGTATAATTAAAAAAATGTAATTCTACCTATTTGAAGGTTTTAATACTCTAAAAATAATTTTTTGGCGAAAATTAAAAAATTTTTAATTTTATATGGAAAAGCAAAGGTGCTTTCTTATATTTTTTATTTTGATAATAATACAAAATCCTAATTACAAATTAACACAAAATTAAGTAGAAATAAATATATAATTTTATTATTATTATTATTAATAACTTTTTTAATATATTAAATATACCTTGCAAATTACTTTTTTAAATGATCACAATTTTTATATTTTTTCATTTTATATTGTCGCCTTATTTCTGATGCCTTCCTTAATTTTTCTCGAATTTTAATAAATTTATTCTTTACTTTATCATCCATTTGATATTCTTCAATTTTTTTTAGAACTTTTCCAGACATATGACACCTTATTGAATTATAATGTCTCTTCTGACCCACTAACTATGAAAAGAAAAAAAAAAGGGAAAATTACAGATATTTTTCAATTTAAATAAATCGAAGTGATGTGCAAAAAAATACTTACTTTCAGATCCATTACATATCTCCAATACGCTTTAGTATTTATATACTGATAAGCATTGGTTTTAATAATTATAGAAATTAGATTCTCCAATTCTCTTCGACTTAAAAAACGACTAAAAAAAAAATTAAAAATTAATTTTATTATAAATGTAAAATAAACATTAAATACATATCCCTGGAACCTTTAACTTTAATGTGTCTCTCTAATACAGTTTAATAATTTCAATGAATTTTATTTTATAGAAAAATATGTTTTTCTTTTTTATTTTAATTCAAAAGTTAAAGGTTACAAAAATAATTTATATATTATTTGAAAGGAATTAAAATAATCACGTATTTGTTATTGGATATCCGTCAGCGTCTTTTCGCATATCTTTAGTTAAATTTTCTATAAAATTCTCTAAATCAGGTACATCAAAAATGCGATCTAATCTTGTTCTCGTTCTGTAAATAAAATTAATATTAATTTTTAAAAAGAAAATTAATTGCATCTTTTACAAAAATTAAGGAATTAGAAAAAAATACATAATTATGTAAAAGAAGACAAAATATCAATAAAAAAAAACAAAAAAGAATTTTTTTTAAACAGTGTCTAGTCAATTTTGAAAAAAAATCATGGTTTCTTTCTAGTTTTTAGCTTTCATATTCTTTAAAATTAAAGTAAATTAAATTCCTTAAAAAAAATTCATTTATTTTCAATCAAATTTGCAAAAATTTAAATTATTAAGAATTAGTTTAGTTAAATATCTTTGAAAATTCAATAAATTATTTTCAAAATTATAATTTTTAAATGTTTCAGAAACTTTTTTTCGAGTTTGCTAATATTTTCTGCGAAATCTTCGTCTATAAAGTTTTTCAATCTTCAAAAACGTAATAATTGAAAAAAAAATTTCAAGTAAAATTCTTCGCAAAAATAATATTTTTTAATAATTTTTAATAAAAATTTAATTATTTAAAAAAATTTGTAATTGTTAAAATTAATATTTTTAGAAATAATTAAATTTCAAAACATTTTACATTGAAAATTTTAAAAGTAGATAATTCAATTTTAGAAGTAATTAAATTTCAAAAGATTTCAAATAGAAATTATTGCAAATTTTAAATGCTAAATATTCTTTTAAATTTCTGTGAATAATTAAAACTTTGCAGAATTAGTATTTCAAAAATGTTTAAAACAATTGAGTTTTTAAAGAACTTAATAGAAATTATTGGTTTAAATAAATATTTATTATTAAATTATTAAGTTTAGATTTGTTGAAAATAATTGAATTTCATATGATTTTGAATTTAAATTTTTGGTAATTTTATTTCCTGAAATTGTTCATTTTACAAATATATTGAATTTTTTAAAATATTTAATTTAAAACTATTTTTAGATAATTGAATTTTTGAAGAATTTTATTTAAATTAAATTGAAAATAATTAATTTAGCAAAGAAATTTAGTTAAATATTTGCTTAGTAATTAAATTTTGAAAGAGTTGCATTGTATACTAAAAGAAAGTGCTTTTTATTTTAAAATTTTCTAAAAAAATATTTTTAAAAATGTCGAAAAAGTAGCATCTTATTATAAAATAAGTCGAAGAATGTCGAAGTCATACAATCCGAGGCTTATATTAAAAATAACTGTTTGTAATTAAAAAAATATTTAAAATATGGAATAAAATAAGATGAATAATGTTATGTCAGTACTTACAATACAGGCTTATTTTTAATGAATTTAATTTCACCATCATCATTTTCTTGATTGATCGATGAATCAGATGATGTCAATGATTCACTTTCCTTCGGATTCGTTAATGAATTATCTTTTGCATTTTGCTCATTATTATCTATTCTTTTATTTTCTCTATTCTCCATTTCAAAACTTTCATCATTTTTCTTTGGAATTGATTCAAAATTTCCACTCCAATCACTTTCAATATTCATCTTTGTTTCATTTTCAATGTGATTTGTATTAACAATTTCATTCAAATTGTCCTTACTATTTCTCATAGTTTCATTTTTCGATTGATTTGTTTCTAAATTTTCATTTAAATCCTCTTCATTATTTCGTATGCTTTCATTTTCAAGTTGTGAAGTTTCTAAATTTTTATTTAATATATCATCTTTATTATTTTCTCTTTCACTTGTTTCTGAATTTTCAATTAAATTTTCATCGATATTTCTTAAAATTTTACTTTCATCCTGATTCATTTCTAGATTGGTATTCATATCGTTTTCATTGTTTCTTATAGTCTTTTTTGATAACTGATTTTTGGTTACTAATGAAGTAGAAGGTGAAATATTTGTCTCTTCCTACAACAATTAATTTCAAAAATTTACTTCTAATGTTAAATTAATTTGATTTTTTAAAAAAAAGAAAACGATAGAAATTTTAACGTGAAAGTAGATAAAAAAAATTGAGCACAATATTGTTTTGGAAAAAATACAACTTTATAATTTTTTATTTTAATTAGAAATTGTATTTTTGTTTCCAATTTTCATTTAAAAAATTACCATTTCCATGAATTGAGAATCCTCAATACAAATCTGTTCATAGGTTGTTACAAAAATTTCCTCATTACTAGGATACAGTGCTAATTGATTTCTAAAAAAAAATAAATTATTTGTAAAAAATTAACGAATTGTTTAACTAATTTATTACCAAATAAAATGAATTATTACTTAATATATGGAAGAGGAAAAGAGTTCCAATATTAGTTTTAGCAAAAAAATTTGGGGTATTTGTAAAAAAAAATGAAGAAATCATTTCTCTACGATCGAATACAAACAATTTTAGAAATAAGATTTTAATCTTTAAATTGCCAAAAATGTAGTAAATTATTTTATCTTTTGCATCAAAATTTTCGAAAAGGGCAGTTTTGAGAAACACTATTGGGTGAAAATTTCCCAACTGGGCCACCTAAAACTGACTTTTAAAATTTTAATTATTTTTTTTCATAATCTATTGCAGGAAGTCGAATTAAAAACATTCCTGAAATGCGTTTTTAAAAAAATTAATTTTTTAATTATTTATTAACAATTGAATATTTTGTTACCTTTCCACTAAATTTGCAATTACTCTGTTGCTTGTTAATGAAATTTAATAAAATTTGGTGAGTATATAGAAAAATTATGTCTCTTTGAAATGCAATAGAAATTTCAATTAACCTTTATTGTTAATGCAAAAAAATTGTTTATTTAATAAACAAATGAATATTTAAACTATTTCTCATATGTTTAGGAAAAAATTTCAAAAACGACATAAATCTACACTTTCTCAACTTTAATTTAAAAAAAAAATCTTAGTACCTTTAAAAAATGAGTGAATTACGCGAATTTGTAAACAGAATTAGTATCACTAGAAAAAAATTTACATTACAATGTAAAGTTTTCTCTAGTGATACTAATTTATACTAATACTAATTTGGCTAAATAAAAATTTGGTTTAGCGAAAATTTAATTAAATAAGAATTTGGTTAAATAAAAATTAAGCTTTAATAACAATTCTATTAAAAAAAATTCTTTTAAATAAAAATTCGGTTAAATAAAAATTCTGCTATTGAAAAATGTGGTTCTACGTTAAATTAATTTTCTAAAATTCAAACTTAGTACACATTGAGCGTCCAAATTAAAATCTTTTCGATGAAATAACAAATTCATAAAATTAATTTTAATAATTAATTTATAATAATTTAATAATTTAATTTTTAATTAAAATTTTTTTTTCTTTATTATTTCTTATAAATATAAGAACAAATTTAATTTTATGAATTTGTTATTTCATCGAAAAGATTTTAATTTGGACGCTCAATGTGTACTAAGTTTGAATTTTAGAAAATTAATTTAACGTAGAATCACATTTTTTAATAGCAGAATTTTTATTTAACCGAATTTTTTGAAATACAATAGTTATTAAAGTCTAATTTTTATTTAACCAAATTCTTATTTAATGGCGAAAATTTTCGCTTAACCAAATTTTTATTTAGCCAAATTAGTATTAGTATAAATTATATTAGTATAAATGAGTATAATTTGATAACAGAGAATCGGCATCGACGCGAGGTAGCGCGCCGCGCGCGGCAGTGGTGACTGTTTCAGCGCTTGTACGTCGCTTTTCAGATTCGCATAATTCATTCATTTTTTAAAGGTACTAAGATTTTTTTTTTTAATTAAAGTTGAGAAAGTGTAGATTTATGTCGTTTTTGAAATTGTTTCCTAAACATATGAGAAATAGTTTAAATATTCATTTGTTTATTAAATAAACAATTTTTTTGCATTAACAATAAAGGTTAATTGAAATTTCTATTGCATTTCAAAGAGACATAATTTTTCTATATACTCACCAAATTTTATTAAATTTCATTAACAAGCAACAGAGTAATTGCAAATTTAGTGGAAAGGTAACAAAATATTCAATTGTTAATAAATAATTAAAAAATTAATTTTTTTAAAAACACATTTCAGGAATATTTGTAATTCGGCTTCCTGCAATACATTATGAAAAAAAATATTTAAAATTTTAAAAGTCAGTTTTAGGTGGCCCAGTTGGGAAATTTTCACCCTATTTCAATAAAAAGCTTTTAAAATTGGTGCATTAAAAAAAAAAGTTAAGAGCATTATACAAAATTTTTTTTTTAATTTTCAAAAAGTCGTGTCTAATAAAAGGCATGATATAAATAATCGAAAAAAAATCATTGAATAATTTTTCATATAGTAGATACATAAAGATAAAAAATTTTTAGTCAAATCAAGTGTCAAAGTCAATGATATGTTGAAATGGCATGAACCCTCCCTTCACATATTAATCATTTTATTAATTAATTAAAACCTCTTACAATAGACACGACTTTGATTGCATAATGGATTTGCTCATTGGACAACCTCTATAGAAGCGTGAATCTCCAACACTGAAATTAAAAAATTAATTTCTTAAATAAACGGTTCCATCTCAAATCATACAGGTAGTTAGATGTGTTTTTTCACTTGAAAAATAAATTTAATAAATTTTCATCTGGCTTTTGTTCAAATAAATATAGGTATTAGCCTCGGACCGACATTAAAAAAATATCGGTTTAGTCGATCTACATTCCAAAAAAAGTCAATTTTTTTTATTTTAATTATATTAAATTAGTTAATAAATATTTTACTTCAAATAACTAATGTTATTAGATAGTAAATTCATTTTTTTAATTCCTTAATAAGAATAATTCTATAAGAATATTATCAAGAAAATTTATTCCCAATATTTCAGAATCAAACTAAGAAAAATATTCAAAATTTTAATTAAGTTGGACAAATTTCTAAAAAAAATCTTAATAAAGCTGTATTTAAAAAATTTTTTAAAGTCTCAATAAATTTATTCGAATATAAAATTTTGACATAGTTTTTAGTTTTAATGGTCAATAAAATTTCAGACTATAATTATTTTTTACAGTTTTTTAAATTAAATTTTTTTAAATCATTGAATTGCAGAAGATTTTAAATTTGAAATAAATTATCAGAAAATTTAAACTTCTATAGTCTAGTTTTTTTTTTTTAATTTCTGCCAACAATACAATTTTACAGTTTTTATCGGTTTTTATTTCAAACTTTTTTTTAAATATGTAATTGAATTTTTAAAGAACAGATATTATAAAAGTTATTAAAAATAATTGAATTTTGAAAGAGTTATAATTGAAATTATTAAATTTTTAGAAAGTTTAAGATGGAAAATTTTAGAAATAATTAAATTTTAGAAGATTTTAAATTGATAATTTTTGACAATTTTTAATTGAAAAATAGTTTAAGATAATTGAATTTGTAAAGAATTTTATTAAAATTATTGAAAATAATTAATTTAGAAAAGAATTTTAGTTAAAAATTTGTTAAATAAGTGAAATAAAGAAGATCTGCATTTTATACTACAAAATATGTATTTTGTGTTTAAAAAATATAGTAAAAAATGTAAAAAGAAAAAGGTCGAAAAAGTCGTATAATCCGAGGCCTGAGGTATTAATTTTTGATACTTTAAATTATAAAATTTTATAATATATAGATGAAAATTATTATTTTTTCTTTTTAAATAAAAATTTTAATTTAATAATTTTTTTTTATTTTATTTTAAATATTTTAAAGTATTTTAGTACTTAATAAAATATTGAAATTAAAAATATATTTGAGAAAAATGAAATGAAAGCTTAGAAATGAAATTAAAAAATTAATTTTACTTACTAGTACTTATCAACATCTAAAATTGTTCTATATTTTATGCAATCTTCGATAAATTTTACATCAAATACATATCCATAATTAGAATTAGGAACTGGATTTGTAAATGTGAGAACATTCGGTGCAGCATTCTCTATAATTTTTCCTCCATTAACCTAAGAATTTAATTTCAATTAGGGTCAACCGGGGTAAATCCGAACGCTTTTAGTAAGTTTCAACAATAACATAAGTTTTTTCTTTAAAAAAAAAATACTTCCGGTATTCTGGTGCATGAAGTTGTTACTTTACTTCCATAGAACAATTTTATGGGGTAGAAAAAATTTTTGATAAATTACAATCGCAGGAAACTTAGCGTTCGTATTTACCTCGATACTTTGCAACTTTCCTAAAATATGGGGGTAAATACGAACGCCACTGTATTTCAGAAAAATCTTAGGGAAAATAAATTTAAAGTATTGCAATTGTTAAACTTATATAAAAACTCAAAAAAATACGATAATAAACCTATTATGTAATAATGCATCATATATAAATACAAAAATCAAACAGGTTAAAAGTTAAAATGCATTACACAATTAAAACCTTCAATAACTTTATCAAATCATAACGGATTTTTGCAAAACTTGCTACAGAAAGTATTTTGGAGTGATTGAATGTAAATACAAAAATAAAAGTCAAATTTTTTCAATTCAAAATGGCGGACTTTCCTAAAACTTACTTTTAAAAATGATCAAATTTGCTAACCCTGAAACCCCCCGAGTAACAATTTTCGAGCGAATCCAATGAATTTTTTAATTCTCGTCCGCCATTTTGAATTTTGAAAAACTGACTTCAAATTGGTAATTAGCGACCCCAAAAACCGTAGAATACCAAATTTTATTAAGATCCTGAAAAACTTTTTTCAACAAACCATTTGGCAAAAAAATTGAAACACTCCTTCGAGAGAACAGAGATTAAGTTTCTGCTTATTAATTACTAACGAGGATACGTATAGAAAGAAAAACTTGTTTCTATGTACTTTTATAATGTTAAAATAATAGTGTAATGAAATAAAAACAATTTTGTGTGGCTCTGATGTAAAAAAAAATGATTGAAAATACCGTTCGGATTTACCCCGGTTTTCCAATTTTCCTGGGTAAATACGAACGGTCTGATATTATTAATAAAATTTTACAGAAGGCAAAAATCAAAAATAGTTTCTGTTCTAGTATTCATAACAAATAATTATAAATAATAAAATAAATTTTTAGCTTCTTTTTCTTCAAATACGAGACAAAATACTGAAAGAGTGTCATCTTTGATTTTCAATCTTTTTTGCAATACTTGTTATCTTTGTTTATGCTGTTGCTAATTAACAAACGAAAAATGGGATAATACTTAGAATCTCTTGAAGAGGATCTGAGGTAAAAATTCTCATATTGAACTTATTTTTAAAAATTTTAATTGAGCTGAAATAATTAGCGTTCGGATTTACCCCCCGTTCGGATTTACCCCGGCTGACACTATTTATTTTTATATTTTTATTTACACATTGCAAAAAATACAGGGAATAATCAAAAATTTTTACAGGGTACTCAAAATGTACTGAAGCCCCCCCCCCAAAAAAAAATAATTTTTAATTATAAAATTATGTATTTTTCGAATTAAAAATACATATTTCTTAATTACAAAATTATTGTTTAAAACTGTGATAATTATAGTTTTCTATTAAAAAAACAAAATTTTTTAAAATTAAAAATGATTACAATAATTTTATTTTGGCAATCTAATTTTATTATTTTTTTGAAAATATTTTATTTTTATTAATATATTTATTATTTTTTTTTTTTGTAGTAAATTGTCGATTTTAAATTTATTCTTTAAAATTATATTGTGAAAAGAATGCAATGTAAAATATAATACAAAATATAAATAACGAAGAATGCGCACCCGCGCATATTTATGAATTACAATTTTTGAGGTTATTTTTACTTACTACAATCAAATTTGTGAACTTCTTTAAATCGAAATCAGACAATTTAGCCAAATGAAATTGCATCTCACATCCATCTGGTCGGCGAAAAAGTAGTCTCATTTTTTGTGTATTTATAATTTTATCAAAATTTATGTTTATAACGTAAGAACTGACAGGAATTAACAATTCAACCGGTCACCAATGTTTTTAATTTAACATAATAATTTTATCTTCAATTTAGTCAACACTTATACAAAATATAAAATAAAATTTACATATTTTTCAATTAAATTATTTAAAAACATTAATTTCTTTTATAAATAGAAAAAAAACCCAAAACTTTGTTTTGACACATGAAAGCAATGTTATTAGTCATGTGCGCATCTTTACTGCGCATATGGCGACTTTAGTCAGTTTTGTTCATTCCAGACAAAAATAAAACTGTTATTTATATTTTTTCCAATTTCCTGATAAAATTTTCATTAATTTTATTTATAATTTATTTATTTTGATCGTTTGTTGAAAATGTTAAAAATCATTTTCTTTATATTGCGAAAAATAGAGAAAATTATATGAAATCTCGAATCATGAATCGATTAGCATTGGCGGGAAAGTAGAAATGTTTCTGATTCGTCAATATTTCAGGTATTGTTCCCACCACTTTTTAAAATTATAAAAACAATTCTGAATTATTCAATTTCTAAAATTGAATAATAAAAAAAGAAATAATGCTTCCTTGGTAAAAAATAGTAGAAAAAGTTTATTTATTTAAAAACAGTACTTGAATATGTTTTTAGGACTATCAAATTTATTTTCAACATGCGAAAATAATGAAAAATCGAATATTTTAATGTATTTTTTGATAGTTTTTTACAAATTTGAAATTATTATTACAAAATTTGTTTATATTTTACTGATTTTTAAACAATAGTCATAAATTATGTAATTTTTAGTTTATTGGTAAATGTACAGTTGAATTATTAATTAAAAATGAAAACTTTATAAAAAAATTCAGTTCATATTTCAATATTTATTAATAATTCACTAATTTTTCGATATTCAGTTTATAAGTTTTTATAAATAGTTAATAAATTTATTTTCTTTTTTTAAATATCCCGCGCTAAATAGAATGACACCTGTTGCGAGTTATTGTAATAATTTTAATTATCGAAGTTTCGATTAATCGAAATTTCGATCTAAAATGGCAGATGGCGTCGGAGGCTATCAGTAGTGTATTGTAGCCAATAAATGCCGATTTTTGCCGAATTTACAAAATTTGCTAGCGTTCCTTATGTAAAGTGTATGGTGTTTTTAAAAATTAAGTGAATTTAGTGTTGATTATCGAAGTGGAGGTCGTGACAATTCGACAGGAATGTAAACGGTAAGAATATTATGAATATATCTCGTTTCTTTTCCAACCTATTTCTCATAATGTCAAATCGTGTTTGCGATTTTTAAACTTTTGTCTATGAAAATATTATTCTTAAATTCTAATTATTTTAGTTGAGAAACAATAGATTTGCAATTAAATGTTAATTGATTTTTTAAATCATTATTTTAAAGAGAAAATAGCGTTGAAAATGAATTTATTTTTATTGTGATCATCAACCACACGCACACACATACACGTTGATATTATTATTGACTTGCTTGGATAAATTCGCGGAATATTTCTGGTTCTAATTAATTCAACTGTAGATTCAAATGAAACATTTTGAGAATTTTTATCAGTATCTTTGTATTTTTTAAATTTAATTTTCTTTGTTTTTTTGTGAAGAATTAGGGGATTTTTTGTTTTGTTTTTTGTTAAAAACTTCGTTTTTTTTTCTCAACGACGATTCGTTATTCGCTTATTTGTAGCTTGGATAAAATCCATGTATTGATCTTTTTTTCTTGAGGGTATAGATCCTGGTGATATAGAAAGTTAATTTCTTGTATTTTATAAAGATATTATTTGTATTTTAACATTTGTTGATTTTATTTTCTTACTTTTGCAATTTTTTTTAATTGACATTTATTTTTTCGAAGTTTCTTTTTTTTTTTTGTTTTATTTTCTTGAAGTTTTTTAACGTTATTTTTTGTTTTTCAACGTCATTTTATTTTTTTTAATATTTCTTTTATTTATTTATAGTTAATTTATTATAAAAAAAAATTTCTGTCAAGAGGTAGAATTTTTTCTTAACTTTTTTTTGAAAAAAAAGAAAACTTAACAAAAATTTTAAAACTATTTTAGAAAAAATAATATTGAAATTGTTTATTATTTATTATTTACGTAATTATTTATTTTTTATAATTTCCTACTTTTTTAAAAATATAGAATAATTTTTTTCTTTTTTTTTTACGAAAAATAGATTTAGAAATTAAAACTAATATTTTAAATATCAGTGAAAATTTATACATAATTATTTTTTTGTCTATTGTATGTAAAATAATTTATTTTTTAAATAAATTACTTTTTTTTATTCTATGAGTAAAATTTAAAAAAAAAAAAATTAAAATAAAATAAATTACTTGTGATTTAAAAAAATATTCCAAAAAATAAAATAAACAATTGAATTTTAATTTGAAATAAATTAAAAAAAAATATATTATTTTTTTAACAATATTTCAATAGTAATTTTTTCGTCTACATCTTTTTTTTATGGTTTAATTAATAATTCCTTTTTTTTGTAAATTTAATTTACATTTGTTTATTTATTTATTGTTTTTAAGAGGTCGAAAATGTCTCGAAGGAGATCAAGTAATACATCTTGTCGAGTCGCGACTCCTGGAAAAAGTTGTTGTTTCTGTGGTCTTGCTGATAATAATGAACTCGATTATGGAAAAATTTACGAACTTGGAAATATCGTCACACATTATTACTGCCTAGTAAGTTGAAAAAAAAAAAATTTATTATTTTTTTTTTAATCGGAATGTTTGTTATATTTATAATTTTTTCTAAAGCTTCTGTCCTCGATGATGCAACAAAAAGGACGCGATGATCAAGGAATTTTAGGATTTTTATCAGCAGACATTGAAAAGGAAGTGAAAAGAGGAAAAAGACTTGTAAGTTTCTATTTGTATGTATTTTTAGTTATTTTTTTTTATTTCAACTTAAAAATGTCTTCATTTTGAAAAAAGTTTTTAATTATTTAATTCAGAAGATTAGAATAAAAAAATTTTATTATAAAAAAATACATATAAAAAATACATACGAATTATAACAATTAAAATATGAAAATTATTCAAATAAATTTTTATTAATCAAATATTATTCTTTTAAAGATTAATTAATCACTAACTATATTTAAATTTTCAATATTTAATTTTTCAAATAAACGTTATAAATAATTTGATTTTCAAATTATAATTTCAAAATTCTAAACTAAATGAAATAAAATAAATAAATATAAATAATGGATCAATAAAATAAATAAAATATGATAAAATTGTAAAACTATGTAATAAGTACACAATGGAGAAAATAAAATCTAATCTAATCTAAAAATAAAATATGAAATAAAAAATATAAATAAATTTCAAATCTAATTGATTAAGAAAATAAATTAATTTAAATTCAAACTGTTAAAATTAGTTTTTAATTACTATTAATTTTTTTTTAGTTTGTAATTTATTTATAATTTTTTTTCAGTTATTAATGTTTATTATTATTTTTTTGTTTGTTTTTAGGTTTGTTATCATTGTAAAAAAAATGGTGCAACTTTAGGATGTTGCAATACAAAATGCAAACGAATATTTCATCTTCCCTGTGGTTTGAAAGCAGGATCATTACATCAATTTTATAGTGAATTTAGGTAAAAATAAGAAACTTCTTTTATTTTTAATTAAAAGTTCTTTTGAAATGTTAGCAATTTTGAAACTAAAGTGTATGAATAAATTTGATTTGAACAAAATTTTTTTTTTAAATTCAATGGAATTTAAAAATGAAAAAGGAAGAAATAAGAATTTATATATAAGAAATTTACTTTTTTCAGATCCTATTGTATAAATCATCGACCAAAACAATTGATCGATGGCCGAGTACTACAAGAAGTTCAAAATTCAGAAAACACATTGTGCTACATTTGCTATGATAATGTTAACTATCGCGATATTTTGGCGATGTTATGGGCTCCTTGTTGTAAAAAAAATGCTTTTTTCCACCGAAAATGTGTTCAAGTAAGCTATCAAATTAATATATAATAAAAATTAATTATTATTTAAATAAATTATTTAACTATTTAATCAGAAATTACTGTAATTTTTATATGAAATTAGTTAATTTTAAAATAATTATTAACAATTGACGTGATTTAATGGTAATAACTGAATTTTTTTTTTTTTTTTTTCAACAGCAACTGGCAAACAGTTCGGGATATTTTTTCAAGTGTCCACTCTGCAATAATAAAAAAGAATTCCAGGAAGCCATGCTTGAACATGGAATTTTCATTCCTTCGCAGTAAGTTGAGATAATAAATAATAACTTTTCGAATTCCCGAAAGACTGCAACTTTTGAGTTTTTGTTTTTGATCTTTATCAAAAATCTAATTATCATTGAAATCATCTATTAAAGGAACAAAAATCGTTTTTTAAGTCTCCTTTAAAAAATGTCTATTTTTAGACGTACCATTTTCTTAGTTAGAAATTATTAAATTATTTTTCGTTAAGTTTTCTTTTTCCACTGATTTGTTATAGAAAAGACCTTCGGTGTATGAAATAAATAAGTTGGTTTTAAATTATTTAATTAGCAGAAAAAATCAACAAAATGATTAGTTATTGTTTAAAAATAAAGAAAATTCAAAAGAAAATTCCGACTTTCTTGAGCGATTAGATTTCAGTACTTTCTGTAACAGATCAGTAGGTAAAAAAGTTTGACGAAAAATAATAATTTAGGGCTGAGAAAATCTAATGCTCAATTTTTTTTTTTTGTAAAAAATACTTATATTATTCGTTTATTAAGACCCAACGGTCCATTCAAAATGGAAATATACAAAAAAAAAGAAAGAGAACAAGAAAAAAATATATTACAGTTCATACTTAAACATAAAAAAACAAAAACATTTAATAAAACACAGAATCACTCAATCCATTCAAGTATTATAAATCTCGACCATCTTCGTGAACATTGAAACAAACCTCTTTATAATTGAAGTCTTAGAGGTAGAAAGAATACCCTTCCAGAATGACTCGCGGCAATCACAAGATAAAATTTCAGGAAAAAACGATATGCGTATGTCCTCAAAACGTGTACAGTCCGTCAAAAAATGGTGCAAGTCACAACCGTTAAAGTTACAAAAGAGACAGTTATCGCGTGGTTTTAGATAGAGGAACAATTTGTTAGCCCGAATGTAATTTGTATAAGAACTGGTAAGACGAAGTTGTGCAAAAACTCTGCGAGTATCGAGTTCCAATCTACTGAGCAAATAATCCTGCGTCCCAAACTTTAACGTAAGAAAAGGCCAAATGGGGAGGCTTCTTGAGTTTTCTCTAGAATGAACATCGCGAGCGAACAAGAATTTTGCATATTTCTGCAAGATTAGGTCCTTATTAACAACAGCAAGTTCAGGATTAGAGCAATCAAAACGGTCTAGTAAGCCACATTCACTTAAAAAATGTCTAATATTAAGAAACCAGTTGAATTTACCGCAACTTCGTCCTGAGGAGGCAAGCCGCGCAAGGCTAAATAGACACTGTCTTGGGTACCGAGAATTTTCCATAACACAAATTTTGCTAATCCAAGACAGGGATCTTTTGAGAATAATGAAAGAAAGAGCAGGCTTGCCAGTCTCGAGGCGGATAGCGTAACCAGGAATTGTCAGCGGGAGAAAAAATAAACGTTTAAAAAATTTGAGTTGAACTTTTTCCAATAAGTCAAAACATTGGTGACCCCAGATTTGAACAGCATATAAAAGTGAACTGATAACCAGTCTATCAAAAAGTCTATTATAAGATTGCCACGAGTCAGCTCTGGAACGGTATATGACACCCATTGTTGCGCCTATCGCTGAGTTGGCTGAGCTTACAAATTTATCGGCCGCTTCCTTAAATGAACTAGAGTTTGAAAAAATTACACCCAAATACATGTAACTTTTAACGACCTCAATCCTCATATCACCGCATTTAAAAGACGTAAACTTTTTAAAAGAAGAGTTGCCACCTCGATGAAAAATCACAATTTTTGTTTTGTCGGTGTTGATGGCAAGGTTGTTTTTCGCACAGTAAAGACGCAAGGCTTCAAGTTTTTTAGCTAATTCAGTTGGTGTGTCCGATAGTAAAACCAAGTCGTCAGCATATGCCAAAATTAGTATTTCGCATAAACTATTTATTGAAAGGCCCCTGCAGCCCTGAGAAATTAAGAACTGTTCGAGGTCACGAATAAAAATCGAGAACAAGATAGGGCTAAGCACCTCTCCTTGCAACACACCTTGAGTGATTTTAACAAAGTTAGTTTGTCCGACATTACATTTTACAGAGGCGAAGGCATTTTCGTAAAAGTTGTAAAAAATACTTATCGTTTAAGACCATGTAAAAATTATTAAAATAAAAAAAAATGATTTTCTTTTGTTCTATTTAGGGATGCATCTTGGGAATTAGTTCCAAATGCCTTTCAGGAGTTACTCTATCGACATAATAAATGTGATGCAGAAACTTGTGTTTGTCCTAAAGGAAGGAGTCATTCAGGCAGCAATTCGTAAGTTTAAAACAAAATTTCATTTACATTTAATAAGTATATTTATTAATATTCCTATACCTATTTGTATTTAAGTCAAAATTCATGAACTACTCAGAGACTTACGAATAGGGGGAAACAGATTATAAAGAAAACGTCACGTTTACTTATATTTAAACTTTCAGTAAATGGGAATTAGCTCTTTGTCAAATGTGTGGCTCACAAGGAATTCACAGGCACTGTGGCCATTTAAAATGGGCAAGTTCGCTGTGGGAATGCGATGATTGCCGATTAATTCTAGGTGAATAATCAACAAACATTTTTTTTCTTTTTCCAATTTATATTTTAAAGTTTTTTTTTACTTTTAAATAATGAGTCAAAATTTGTCAAGTGTGCCAATATTTTTTCTATGCTCGAAAGTTATTCATATTTAATACAAGTTTTTCTGTTTAAAACAAGAAATAAAAATTACAAGTTGAACAGTTCAAATATTGAAAATTTGTAAAACTCGTTCAACTTGTATATTTTATTTATTTTTTTAAACAAAAAAAACGTGTATTATATGAGAAACTTTCGACTATAAAAAATAAAAAGTTTCCTGGGGAGGAGAGGAAGCAAAATATTGGCACACTTCAGAAATATTGACTCTTAATTAATTTAACAATTTTAATTATATTCTTGCAGATAAATCTTCCCTTGTAAATAGACAAAATCAATCAGACGGTGCTGAAGGGTAAATAATTTCGATTTTTAATTAAAACTTTTTTATTCTTTTCAAAACATTTCATTGAATTGCTTTTTGATTTTAATTTATTTTTTTTTTTAGTTATTTTCGTTTAATAATTATTTTTTTATTTTCTTCTATTTTAAACATTGTTTGAAATTTTTTCCACTCTTTAACTAGAGTGTAGCAATAATCCTTACATTAAACATTTTTTTAATTTAAAAATTGTTATTTTTAATATTTTTCAATTAAGAAATTTTTAATTCGAAAAATTTGTATTTTAACTTTAATATTGACTTTAAAAATGATTTTGTCTTTAAAAATTTGTTAATTTTTTTGTTCATTTCTTGAAAAAATTTTATTTAGAATAATTCAGGCCTCGGATTATACAATTTTTTCGAATATTTCGATTATTTTTATACTTTTTACTAAATTTTTAAACATAAAACGTCTTTTTTAGTATACAAAGCAGATCTTTTTCAGATCTTTTTTATTTCAAAAATCGATCGGCAAATAAAATTACCAAAAAATTTCAATTAAAAATTACTTAAAATTCAATTATTTTCAAAAATTTCAATTTAAAACTTCTAAAATTCAATTATTTCTTAAATTTTCCATCCAAAACTTTCTGAAATTTTATAATTTCAACTATGTATAACTATTCTGCAATTCAATTATTTTTAATGATTTTTGTAATATTCTTCGAAAATTCAATTATATGAAAGTATTTCTCAATTTGTTTGTGATTCTAATAAATTCATTAGCAACAGAAATAACCGAAAAATTTTAATTAAAATTCAATTATATATTCAAAAATTTCAATTTAAAATTTCTAAAATTTAATTATTTATAAAATTTTCCATCCAAAAATTTTTGAAATTTAATTATTTTTAATGATTTTTGTATTATTCTTCGAAAATCACTTGAACTTCAATTATTTTTAAAAAAGGTTATTTTAAATTATTTTATAAATTATTTTCAATTCTTTAAAATCAAATTATTGTTTATTAAATTAAACAAAATCTTTTGAAATTCAATTATTTCTAAAAATTTTAACTGTAACTCATCCAAAATTTATTTATTTTTAATAATTTTTGTAATATTCTTTAAATTATCTAAAAGCATTTTTCAATTAAAAACTTTTGAAATTCGATTTTTTTCTGCAACTTCAAAAAAATTCTTCATCAACAGAAATTACAAAAATTTAAATTAAAATCACTTGTTTCAATTATTTTCAGAAATCTTATATTTCTTTAAAAATTTAATTATTTAAAAAAGTTTCAAATATAAACTCTAAAATTAAATTGTCAGAAATTTAAGAAAAAAAAGTAGACTACAGCAGTTTAAATTTGCAAAAAAATTTATTTCAATTTTGAAATCTTTTGTGCAATTCAATTATTTCAAAAAAAAATTTAATTTAAAAATCTTTAAAACTTAATTATTGTTTAAATTTTTTTTGACCATTCAAACTTAAAACTTAAAACTTCAAAAAGTTTTTAAAATGGAACTTTGATAATTTTTTCTAGAACTTTGTTCTACTTAATTAAAATTTTTATAAATTTGTCTTATTTCGATTTTTAAATACCTTTTCGAAATAAATTGTCTGTATAATATTCTTTTAGAATTATTCTTATTAAGAAATTAGTAAAATGAATTTAATATCCAATAACATTAATTATTAAAAGTAAAATATTTATTAAATTATTAAATTTAGTTAAAATATAAAACTCGATTTTTGTGACTTTTTTTGAAATATAAATCCACTAAAACGACTTTTTTTTGCGTCTTAAAGTTCATCTAAGGCCTGAGTTCAATTTTCACTTTAATTTTAACTTTAAAAATAATTTTGTCTAAAAATTTATTAATTAAAATATTTTTCTTTCGAAAAATTATAATAATTTAAAATGATTAAAAATTTGTAAAATTCAATAATTTGTTTATTTTAACAGAAATGCGGGAAATCGAGCAATTTCGAAGGATGTTGACAGCGACAGTGATCTCTCAGTTGGACACGATGGACACGATCAATCTGAAAAATTCTCGGCTTTCGATATAAATAACATGCCAATCGTTAAAGTTCGTCCTGGTCCTCTTTCCTATAAAATAAAAGAGGTCATGAAAGTTGCTCAAAGGTTAGTTGCTTTATAATTTACAAAACTTTTTTCTCACAAAAAAAAAACAATAAAAAACAATAAAAATAAAAAAAAGCGCGAAACTTAACATATTAAATGGACAAGAAAAAAATGAAAAAAAAGAACGTTAAAGGTCAATTCTCGGGAATTGAAAAGCAATTTTATATCCCCTAGGGATTTTTTTTCTGGGCCTGTGCAAATACCTTCGTTTTCGATTCTTTGTTTCCGCTTTTTAGTCTAATTTTCCATTTTGACTAGAAAGTTAGCTGATTTTTGAAGAGTGAAAAGAAACAGTGAACGAGAGAGAGAAAATTTTCATTTTGTGAAAAAAAAAACTAATAATTTTCTTTAATAAAAAAAAAAAAGAAAAATTCTAAAATAGCGATTTGGTAACAAGAAAGAATTGATAGGAATAATGAAGTTTTTTTGTAATTGAGTTTGATTAATTGCAGTCAACCACAGACGATAGACTCTTCGAGTAGTCTCGAGGGGACAAATTCGTCGAGCAGCAATCCAAAATCTGAAAATGGTAATAAAAACGTCAAGGATCCAAAAACAGTAATTTTACTTGACAGTGACGAGGACACTGATGTTATTGAGGTATGTATTTCCTATTTTTCGACTATGCACTCTCTCAATCATCAGAAATGAATTTTCTTTGTGTTTCATTTTGAAAATTGACAGTTTTTTTAAAAAAAAAACTTATTTCACTGAAAAAGAACATGTCCAGCGTGACCCTTGAAAATTTTGAATTCTCTTTGAATTTATTTTTCACTTTGAAAACATTGAAATCACAAATTTTAAATTAAAACCTTAAAAATTTTCTATAGAATAATATTTATATTTTGAAATATTATAAAAGTCTCAGTATAACATTTAAACGGTTAAAACTCTCAAAATGCAGAAAAATTCAAATCTAAGGAATTGAATTACCTTTTTTTTTTAATTTTGAATAATTAAATAATTTTTTTTTCGTCAATATTCATTTTAAATTCATAAGATTATCTTACTTTTCTGATTTTCAACAACGATTTTTTTTTACAATCAGTGATACATACATAGAAAAATATTTAGAAAAATTTATCAAAATAATTGAATTTTTCAAGATGTACAGTTTTGATTTTTTTTAAAAGAAATAATTGAATTTCAGGAGATTAAAAATTTTTATTTTAGTAAATTTAAATTTCTAAATATTGTTTACAAATTAACATTGACTTAAATAATTTAATTTCGCTTTCGTAAATTTTATGACTCATGTAGATTTTATACAAATCTTTCAAATTTCCAACATAATTTTTTTGTCTTTAGAAATTTTGTTCTGATTACAACTAGGCGTTTAATTTTAACATTTTGAAATTAATATTTTACAAATTAAAAACTCGTGTACCTTATTAGCCCCTGTTGTACCAGAATGACCCCGTTTCACGGTAAGTGAATTTTTGAAAAATTTTATTAAAAAATAATGTTGTTTTTTTTTTTATTAAAATTATTGATAATAATTAATTTGTCGAAGAATTTTCATTTTATTCATTAATTAATTTTAGTTTTTTAATTTTTAAATTGTTTAAATAATTAAATTATCGAAGAAATTTGTTTAAAATTTCTGAAAATTTTTGAAAATAATTTAATTTTTTGTAAATATTAAAATATTTAATTAATAGAATTTTAAATAATTTAAATATTTCTAAAAATTTCATTGAATATTTTCAAAATAATTGAATTTAAAAAAAAAATATTTCATATTGAAACTAGCGTTTACCCTAATTGCCCCTGTAGTACCAGAATAGCCTTGGTTTACGGTATTTCTCTTTTTTTATTTGAAAGAATAATGTGAATATAAATTAAAATTTTATAATTTATATTCTAAAATAAATATTTTTATTAAAATTCCTGAAAATGATAAAATTTGTAAAGAGTTTTAGTTTTTTTGTAAATAACATAATTATTTATGAAATAATCCAATTTTGGAAGAAGTTTCTGAAAAAAATTTGAATTACAATGTTGAAAATAATTGAATTTTCTTTTATATCTAATTAAAACAATTTTAAATATTTCAAATTTCTTGAAATTTAATTGGAAATTTTTGAAAATAATTAAAAAATTTATTGAATTTTCAAAGAATTTCAATTGAAAAATATGTAAATAATTGAATTTTATTTGTATTGAAAAATCATGATAATTTGAAGTCACAAATAAAATTCGGCTTAAAACAATTAAAGAGTTACTATGTTAAAGTTAAAAATTTGAAAAAGCCTTAAAATTTTTTTTTAACAAAATTTCCTTAACACCCTGATCAAAAAAATCATAATTTTACAAATTGTATATTAATTTAATATACACATAATATAACGAAAATTCATTTCTGACGATATTGTGCGTTGTCGAGTGTCGAGAGGGATTTAAAAAAAAAAAAAAATATCGATTTTGTTTCATTTGTTCATGCGACAGATTATTACCGAAAAACACAATCCCAAAGTGTTAACGACGAACGATGGTAAAAAAATTGAAATTCTCGACAAAAAAGCAATTGATAATCTTACAACAAATAACGAAACAACAACAAATACACCAATTGATGAATCATCAAAGTCCAATAATAATTCACCGTCAAAAGATTCAAAACCAATAATCACCAGTATACAAACAGTGAATACAATTATAAATAAACAATATTCTACTCCAATTCCTAGTCTCACGCCATTTAATTCACCACCGGGTCAAAATAAACGTGATGAAATGAAAAATTCCAATAATCATGTAACACAAATTTTTAACAGTCAATTTCGATCAAGAATGACAATGTCAGGAAGTACAATTGTGCAAGAAACAAATAATTTATCGGGCAATTTTAGTCCAAAAGTTGCATTAAAATCAATTAGTCCAAATAAATTACCGACAAATTTTAATTCACAATATTTTGCACCAAGAAATTCAATTCCAACTAATTTCACATCACAAAGTTCAACGCCACAAATTTTTCATTTACGAAGTATTGGTCCACAAGGATTAAATCAAAGATTAACGACACCAATTCCAGAATCATCGAAATTAAGAAATTCTTATCATTTCGGTAATAATTCCGAACAATGTCCAAGTACTTTTTTCCCTGGGAATACCGAAAATAATAATAATAATAATAATAATAATAATAATAATAATAGTAGTAATAATATTAATCCACCATTAATTCCAAGTGTACCAAAAATTTCAATGAACGAAAATGATTCACTTGGAATAAAAATTCTCGATGTTTGTTCATTGGCACCGGATTTATTTGAAAAACTCGAATCACACGATGAGGCGTCAAATTCAAATTTTACAAGTTCATCGAGTGGCGATTCATCGCGTTTAAAGAGAAAAGCCGAAACAACACCACCGGGAACGTCGCAAAATTTTGACAATGGATCAAAATCAAATGTAAAACGTACAAGACTTGCCGTCAATGAAAAAGATGCATCAACCCTTTCACATTTCACTGATTGGCGTGATAAATTAAAAGGACGTGAAGCAATTGCAAAATTAGTGGATAATAATAAAACAAATTTATCAAAGGAATTAAAATTTGATAAAATAAAATCGGATTCAAGTGAAATGAATAATGATTGGCGGGGAACAATTGAAATTTGGAAGGAGACAAAAGATGTGTGTCAAGATAAAATTGAATTAAGAGAAATTAATAACGAACGAGTAAAGGAGAAACATCCAATTTTAAAGAGTTTAATGGAACAGGAATTGATGAAAAAAAATAATGATAATAATGAAGAAGTACAACCGTCGACGAGTAATATTCATAAAACATCAGCGAATAATGTTACATTTTATGTGGAAAGGGGAAAAACGCAGGAAGTTATAAAAGTTCCAGGAAATAATAGTCCCGTGAGTACATTGATGATATCATTGATTTTTAATATTAATAATATTGTTATTATTAGTAGTATCATATTAATAGCTGTTATATTTCACGCACTTAATTTTTCAATTTTTCGGAGTCATTGAAAATGTCTATTTAAAAAAAAAAAAATTGAGAAATTTCTATTTTTATTTTTTTAATCTCAATTCTTGGTTTTATTTATTTGATGTTTAGATTTATTAATTATGTTCTTTTTTCTTTAAAAATAATAATTGCAGATAAACTTTTTGTTAAACTCTGTTATTATTTGTGTACTTTTACCTCTGTCTTCCCTCTGTTTTTTTTTTAAATGTGATTATTTTCGAAAATTTAAATCTCTGTGATTCTTTGTTGATATAAAAATTGATTAGATATTGAAAAATTGGAAAATAGTAGAATCTTTTTTTTAATATTTAACATTTTAGTCATAGAGGCAAAATATTCGATGGCAATTTAGCATTTATCTAAAATTTAAAAAAAAATGAACCAAAGTTTTTAAATATTTATGTGTTAAATTATCCCATAAAAATCATTAATTAGAATTTTTATTTTAAAGCATTTTATTAGAAATAATTATTTTTTAGACGAATTTTCAATTTTCGAATTAAAATTTCACAAATTTTCTTTTTATACGAATTTTTACTTCACAAAATTTTTAGCTACCGAATTTCTGATTTGGCAGAATTTTTATTTTACAGTCATTTTATTTACGTGAATTTATATTTAACTGAATTTTAATTTAATAGATTTAATAGAATTTTAATTTAACAGAATTTTATTTGTTTCGAATTTTTAAATGACAGAAATTACATTTCACCGAATTTTAATTTGTCCGAATTTTGAATTAATAGAATTTTTAAGACGCCGAAGTTTCATTTGTCCGAAATTACAAATTCCACGAACAAACAATCGACAGAAAGATTTCGGCCAAATTTTAAAAATTTACTAATCATGATTTTCTTGATAATTTCTAATTGGTGAATTTTGAAAAATTAAGCCAAAATCTTACTATCGATTCTTTGATCGGATATTTTTAATTTCGGACAAATGAAAATTGGGCGTCTTAAAAATTCGGACAAATTTGAAATTCTGTGAATTGGTATTTCTATCATCTAAAAATTCGAATCATATAAAATTCGATTGAATGAGAATCCTGTTAAATTTAAAATTCGTTTAAATAAAAAGTCATTTATAGAAAATGAAAATAAAAATTTGGTAACTAAACATTTTTTTAAGTAAAAATACGTATAAAAAAAAATTCTATCAAATTTTAATTCTTATTAATGATTTTTATGAGATAATCATGCGCCCTCCATTCTGCTCCTTCAAATCTTGTAATATTTAGGTTAAGGGAAATTTATCAATTTTTTTTTTTAATTTTTGCTCTTATAGCTTGGTTCTTTAAAACATTTTAATCTCTTTTCTCGTAGACTTCTCTTCCTTTTTTTAAGAATAGTTAGAGTAAACTAAATTCTTATAATATCTTATAATATGACAGAAATACCAATTTACCCAATTTCAAATTTGTCCGAATTTTGAAGACATTGAATTTTCATTTGTCCGAAATTACAAAATGGCCGAACAAACAATCGACAGAAAGACTTTCAGCAGAATTTTTTAAATTGATCAATTAGAAATTATCAAGAAAATTGTGATTGGTTAATTTTCAAAAATTGCGCCAAAATCTTTCTGTCGATTGTTTGTTCGGCCATTTGTAATTTCGAACAAATAAAAATTTGGCGTCTTAAAAATTCGGGCAAATTAAAATTCGATGAATTGGAATTTTATGAAATTTAAAAAACGAATCACATAAAATTCGATTGAATGAGAATTCGGTTAAATTAAAATTCTTTTAAATAAAATGTCATGTAAAGAAAATTTATGTAAAATAAAAATTCTGCCAAAAAAAAGGGTAGCTCAAAATTTTGTTATGTAAAATTTCGTATAAAAAGAAATTTTGGGAAATTTTAATTCGAATATTGAAAATTCGTTGAAAAAATAATTATTTCTAATGAAATACTTTTTTTTTTTTTAAAGTTAGGGAGTAAATTTTAATTTTAAATTGAGAAATATTTTTATAAAATTGAATTTTGATTAATTTTCATTGAAAGATAAATGTATGACTCCGATTTTATTTAAAACTTATTCTTTTATTTAATGCGAAAGATTAAAACCAAAAAATAAAAGAAATAAAGACTCATCAATAAAATTTTGTTGTTTTATTGATAAGCAATTTGTTTTCTAAATTAAATTCAATTGTTTATTTTATTGATGAGTTTGATGTTATTATTCAAGAAAGAATTCAAGTCACTTACCCCGCAATTATAATTGTCTCACGGAAAATGTTGCACTTACTGCAAATAAAAATACAGTAACAATTTTTGATAAATTTACAAAATCTCTATATAGCAATTACAGCAATTAAAATTCTTATTATTTGCACTTTGCAAGCTTATCACTTTTTTTTCAAGCTCCTGCAGTCTACATTCTTCAATTCAATTTCAGTCATATTTATCAAAAAAAAAATTTAATCTAAAAATAATTTTTATTAAAAATTGAGAATATTTCTAATTTGAAAATTAATTTTATAATTTGCAAAAAAATGTTGACAATTTTTTAAATAAACGAGTTTCAATATTAAATAAATAATTAAATGTTTTCAAGTATTGTTTTTCTGCGAATAAAATTGTATATGAAAAAATTTTGAATGAGAGGGAGTGAGAGAGAAAAAAAAAGAGTGAGGGGAAACAGAAGAAGAGAGTTTAATATCGATGGTACGGTGACTTTGTCTATCTTGATGAAAAATAACGGAACAAAACAAAACAAAAAAACAAAATGAATAATTACAATTGAATTTAAGAAAAATATTAGATGTATGGCTGAAAAAAAATATGTGTCTATAAATGTTGTCCCTTGACGTCCTCGACAGTGTATCACTTGGGATTCTTCTAACAGTGTCAAAGGAATGCAGGCACCAGTTCTACTATTTCCCCAAACCTTAATCTATCCACAATCAGTTCAATCGGCAAAATTGGCGACGAAGCAGAAAATCAAATCACCACTAAAGCAGACGAACAAATCGGAAACAACTCAATCGAAGACTCGTAAGTCTCCTAAAAAAAAACAAAAGTTCAATTCATCGATATTAATATTTTTTTTCTTTTTTTTTAATAGTTTGTAATTTATTGTTATTGTATCGAAAATATGAAAATTTCAATTTTTTTCTCCATAATGACAAAATTTTCAGAAATTTAATTTTTTTAAAAAAAGTTGTTTTTTCTTTTTTTAAATTATAAAATTCAATATTAATTATTTTTCTAACAATTAAATAATTTACAATATTAATTTGAAGAATCTGTAAATAAATTAATAATTTATTAATTTTGTATCTAGTAATTAATGAAAAATTCTAATATTCTTCTAAAATGTTGGATAATTATGCAAATTTATTAATATTAATTATAATTATTTATTTACACTTATTTATTTATTAATTTCGAATTAAATAGTAATTTGATTTTTTAATTAGGTTACAATTTAATTTTTTTTTAATTCGAATTGAAAATTGTTTTTCATTTTTTTTAAGTTATTAAAATACGATTGTAATAATTTTAATTTCTTTTAATGATACAATAACAATTGATTGAAAAATATTAAATTAAATTTTAATTTTTATTATGTAATTTCATTTTTTGCATTGTTTTCTAATTATTTTTTAATTTTGTACATTTATTGATTTTTTGTTTATTGTTGATGAATGATTTAATTTACAAATTGTTGAATTTTCAATTAATTCTTTTGTATTGTATTTATTTGATTTTTCATTTGTTATTTGAAAGTTAATTTAATTTTCCTTGTTACAGATTGATATTCTATAATTTAAATTGTTTTTTTCTTTTGGAATTATTATTTTAATTTTTGATGTTGTGAAATTTTAATCGTTTACAGATGATTATTTTAATATCAATTGTTTATAAAAAAAAAGAAATGTTGTTCTTGAAAATCAAATTTTCTCTGTTGGCAGATTGTTGATGAATTGTGTTATTTTAATTGATTTTTATTTGATCCATCAGCAAAGATTCCAATACTTTGGTATTCGCACAGACCCAATATGCATGTCCATTTTTTATTGTTTTTTTTTCTTTTTATTGAAATTTTGTGGAAATGTGTTTATTGTTTTTTCTTTTTTAATTTAGTTGTGTTATATTTAATTTTTCATTTAACGTTATATTTTCAGTTTTAAAGAAAAATTTATTGAATGTTTAAAAATAAATAATTGAAAACTAATTTTTTTTTTTTATTTTTATTAAATTAATTAATAATTTGTTTTTTTTTTGTTTTGCAATTCAGCAAATTTAGCGACATCTACCTTTCCAACTCAGAAGGAAGTCGTGAACAATACGAAAACTCAAGCTCCTGTGATTCAACTGGATTGATTCCTGATAATGTGTCATTAGGTGACATCAAATTCAGAGTCTGTGGATCAGACATAGTTCAAGTATGTGATTTTTTTTTAAATCTATATGGCTAAATAGAAAATTTTTCAATTGAAAATTTGGCTAAATAGAAAATGTTGTTAAATAAAAATTTTAATTAAATAGATATATAGGTACATTTGTTTTTTGGCTTATTTTTCTTGATGAAAAATTTCTTGAAATTAAATCCCAATTATGTTTCCGAATAAAATGAAAAAAAAATATTTATTTTATAATATAAATTATAAAATTGTAATTTATATTCTTCTTTTAAATTAAAAAGAGAAATACCGTAAACCGGGGCTATTCTGGTACTTCAGGGGTAATTAGAGTAAACTCTAGTTTCAAATGAAATGTAAAAAAAAAGTTCAATTATTTTTAATATATTCCGCATCTAATTTTAGAAATAGTTGAATTATTAAAAAAAAAATTTTTTTTAATTACATAAATATTTACGAAAATACAATTACTTTCAAAATTGTAATTGTAAATTGTAATTCAAAATTTTCAGGAACTTAATTTTTTGTAGAATTTTGAATAAATTCTTCGAAAATTGAATTATTTAAAAAAATTTACATTAGAAAAATTTTTTAATTTAATTCAAAATTTTTTAAAATTATAATAATGTCAAAACTTTTAATTACACTTCTTCTAAAATTAAATTATTTCTAATATGTCCATAATAATTAGATTATTTACAAAATAACAAAAACTCTTTGCAAATTTTATTATTTTCAGGAATTTTATTCAAATTCTTCAATAGTTTAATTATTTAAACAAATTTAAAATTAAGAATGTTGATTTTAACACATTAATTTTACTTCCCACAGAATTTATTCATTTTTTTAAAATAAGTTTTATTAAAAATTTTTAAAAAATTTAATTTTTATTAAAAGCTTTGCAATTATTTGCAATATCAATTATTTTCAAAAATCTAAATTAAATTTTTTTAGTAATTCGTATAAAGTTTTTTCATATATTTAAATAATTTTTAATTAAAATTCTTATAAAATTTAAATATTGACAACTAATTTAACTAATAATCTACCAAAATTAATTAATTTTTTAAATTTTTAACCAAAATTTTTCGCCAAATTAATCATTATCAATAATTTTAATAAAATTCTTCGAAAATTCGCGAACCGTCAACTGGGGATATTCTGGTACATTCAAAGGCTATTAGAGTTCGCGCTAGTTTTTAATTTGTAAAAATTTAATTTCAAAATGTTAAAATTTGACGCCTATTTGTAATTATAGTGTGACATTTTGGCAACAAAGTAACTAGTAAATAAAAGTTATTAGTAAATTCGCTTTTAGAAATAAAAAAAAAAAAATTCTAAGGACAAAAAAATTATATTCGAAATTTGAAAGATTTGTGTAAAATTTACATGAGTCATAAAATTGACAAAAGCGAAATTATCAAAATTATTTAAGTCACAGTTAATTTGTAAACAATATTTAGAAATTTAAATTCACGAAAATAAAAATTTTAAATCACCTGAAATTCAATTAACTCTAAAAATTTTAACTGAAGCTCTTTATAAACTTTTATATCAAAAATTCATCTCCAAATTAATTATTTTTAATAATTTTAATAACCTTTTTTTGAAAATGTAATTTAAAATATTTTTTAATTAAAAATTCTCTAAACTTCTGAAATTTGTAAAAAAAAAAATTTGCAACAATTTAAATTTACAAAGATTTTCAATTTAAAATCTTTTAAAATTCAATTATTTATAAATATTTCTATCGTAATTTTCATTTGTCCGAATAAAAAATTATCAAGAAAAATTTGGGGTTTTAAGAATGTTGTCAAATGTAAATTTAAACAGATAAAAAATGCAGTTAGAAAAGAATTCTTTCTATTTGTAAAATAAAAATTATTTTAAATTACTATTTTGTATAATGAAAATTCGAGTATATAATAATTCAGTCTAATTCAAATTCTAAGAAATAAAAAATTTCTAGAATGAAAATTCTTTATGTAACAATTCAGTTAAAAGTTAATTTTAGGTAATAAAATGCTATCAAATAAAAACTAAAATTAATTTTAGAACTTATTTATGCGTCTCAAATATGTTTTTCAAAAATAATTTCCGGACACTATTTTTTTTTACTTACATAAAAATTAATATTTTTTAAAATTTCAATAATTGCAGGCCTCGGATCAACTTTAAGGGTAAAAAAAAGTTGTTTTAGTCGATTTACATTTCAAAAAAAGTCAAAAAGTTTTAATCAATGAAGATTTTAAATTTGAGCTAAAATTTTTAGAGTTAATTGAATTTCTGGTAATTTTATTTGCTGATTTTTTTTTTGAATTTTAAACAATTATTGAATTTTATAAAAATTTTAATTGACAACAGTTTAAGTTGACTGAATTTGTGAAGAATTTCATTAAAATTATTGTAATCAATTACCTAATTTGGAGAAGGATTGTAGTTAAAAAATTTTTGTTAAATAATTGAACATAGTTGCCACAAAAATTTTATTTTCTTTTCCTCCTGATTTTCAGTCAGAATTAAATTTTTTTAAATCTTTTAAATAAAGAAGATAAATGTAAAAAAAAGTCGTATTTTCGAAAAAAAAACCTTTGTAAAAAGTCGTATAATCCGTGGCTCGTAATTGTTCAAATTTTTTGGTTTTATGATCAAAATTTGTTTGATTTTATACTCAAATAAAATGATTTTTTAATCGTTTAAAAATAATTTTACTTGAATTTGTTTCGTTAAATATCTTTGTTTGATAAAAACAAAATTTTGCTAAATAAATATTTTGAAATAAACTCAAGTTTTTTAAATCAAAATTTCTGTTATATGAAATTATGAAATGTAAATTTAAAGCTTGAGAAAAATAGTTTTCTTTTTTTTTTTTGATGAAATAAAATTTGTTTGCAGGTGATTTTATATGATAAATATAGAATCGATATCAAAATGGACACTTCTGCCTCAAGAAGTTCACGAGATTTCGATTCATCACCACTGCCTTGTCCTAGTTTCACTGATGATTTTGACGATTCGGAAGAGACGGGTCATGAATTACCGCCTAAACGAATACGTGATTTTGAATTTGAAGAAAATACATTGCAAGAATTTCCAGCGACATCAAGAAATGGCAATATCATCAACAATGCAATTTCATTTAATAGAATCATTAGCAAGGAGATATTGCCAAAAATTGCCAAAGAAAATCTCGATCCAATAAAATCAATAGTCGATAATCATAATGATGATGATGATGTTGATGCTGATCGTAATAATGATCATAATAGTGATCATCATCATCATCATCATGATTCATCGACGCCAGCGTTTAACGACGATTTACGAGTTTTGCAACATCGTAACATTTCAATGAACACTAGAACATCGACTGGAATCAATAGCGACACTTATAATAATTGTAAAGTCAGTATTGACTTGAATAAACTTCAAAATCTCGTTGATACACGACCGCATATATTTTCCAAATACGACGAGCCACAATTAGAATCGTTAAAAGTGCACGATATTAATTTAACTGAATGGAATAAAAAATTGCTCATTGATAGTAAAAATCAAGATAATTTCTTTGATAATATTGAAACAAAAAATAAATTGTGTAAAAGTATCGATAATATTGATAATATTGTTGTTGTAAATGAAAATAATCGTGAAGAATTAAAAACATGCTCGGAAACAAAGAGCAATTTACGACGTGGCTTGAAACGCAAATGTAAATACTCTACGCCAATTAGATAATAAGTATAATAATATTAAGACTCTTCGAATTTGGAAAAAACGAGATGATTCTATTTTTTTTTTCAAACTTTTTTTTGCAATCTACTTTTTTTATTCCAAATAAGTAATGACACTTACATTAATTCTGTATAAACTGTACAAAAAAAAGAAAAAGAAAATAATCGATATTTTGATTTTTTTTTCATATTGCTTATCCTTGTAAAAAAAAAGTTAGTTTTGTTAATTTTGATACGATAAAGTCTTAAGGGAAATAATAGTCGTTTCTTCTTTCTTCGAAGATTTTTTTTTTATTTTGATAAAAATGTATGTTATTTCTTGAAAGATATGGTTACTTTATTCTTATGTTGTTAAATTTTTTTTAAGGGTTAAATAAAACTGACAATTCAAACACGATAATTCAAAGAATTGTTTTTGAAAAGGGGAATAAATAAGCATTTTTTTTTTTTAACGAAAGTCATCATTTTATTGTAAACGATTTTCGTGATATTTTTTTTTTATTAAAAAAAAAGTAGTAAAGATGTTAATTAGTCAATCGAAATTTTTGGACGAGAGACACAAGTCAATAATTCATAATAAAAATTAAAAATTAATGTCGAGGGCAAGTGTCGGGCTTCAGTGTTTAGTGGATTTATCTATTTTTAATTTTTTTTTTTTTAGTATAAGATGAATTATGTTTTATATTTTGTAAGTCGATATTGCGACAAAATTTTTGTTATTAAATGTTGAATGAATTATTCAATGATAATTTCAAATAAACCGATATGTATAAAGTAGTGTTAATGAAGAAAACATTGGAGTCAATGGCAGAGGGAGGAAAAGAGAGAGAGAAAGAGAGAGAATGATAAAGAATTGTTTTAAAAAATACTTGATAATTAAAAGTATTTTTAAACAGAAAAAACCATGTGTTTTTATTTATAATAATTTAATTTTTTTTATAATAATTGAATATTTAAAATTTTTACTTATATTTAATTTTCAACTTAAATTTAATTTTCTAAATTTTGCAAAATATTACTAAATATAATTCAACATTGTGCCTATCGATTATTTTTTTGTTTAAATCATGAAAAATTATATTTCTGTTTTTTTTTCTCAAAAAATCGGAATTTTTTTGTAATAAATTCAGCTTTGTGATATTTTTCCAGGGTTTTTTTTTAAATAAAAATCCTTGACTTTTCTTTGATCAATTTGATTCTTCATAAATTTTCTGATTTCGTGGGAACAAAAAAAAATTATAATAAATTAATCAAAATTCTTAGGATCAGCTATGGAAAAAATTATTTATAAAAAAAATAATAATAATAAAATTGGGCGAATGAATTTCCCATAAAAATCATTAATTAGAATTTTTTATTTTAAAATATTTTATTAGAAACAATTATTTTTTAGACGCATTAGCAATTTTGGAATTAAATATTGAAAGAATTTCTTTTTATACAAATTTTTTACATAACAAAATTTTTAGCTATCGAATTTTTGTTTGGCAGAATTTTTATTTTACAGAATTATTATTTAATTGAATTTTTAAATGACAGAAATACCAATTTACCGAATTTTCATTTGTCCGAAATTGCAAATTTGTCAATTTTAAAAATTGTGTCCCATTTTGTCGATTGTTTGTTCAGTCATTTGTAGTTTCGGACAAATGGAATGTCTGTCATTTAAAATTTCGAATAACATAAAATTCGATTGAATAAGAATTCTCTTTAATTTCAGAAATTAAAATTCAATAAATTGAAGTTTTTTTTAAAATAAAAAGTCATTTAAATTAAATGGCTATAAAAAAAAAATTTTGCCAAACAAATTCTGCGCCCCATAATAATAATAATAATAATAGTAAAAATCATTAGTTTAATTTAGAAATTTTTATGTCTTGCTAAAAAGTGGGACAAGAATAATAATAATAAATACGAATAAAAATATTAATAAAAGTGAAGGAAAAAAAATTATATTTTCCATGAGGAAGCAAAATATTTGTAAAATGATCAATAAAAGTATAAATTGCGTTTCTCTCGAAATTTTTAATTTATTATAAATAAAAAAAAAACTATTTACAGTAGTAATAGAATTAAGATGCTTTCGCCGCTTGTCGAGCGTAATATCTTTGCAAAGCAGCTTCAAAAATTGGACCAACGGTTCTTTTTATCCAAATTGTTACATTTCTCTCAGGTTTTCGTGGTTTTGGCTTGACATCATCCTTTTTTCGCTTATTTGGACTATTTGACAATTCTTCATCACTTCGACCTTCTTTATTCTCGTCTCTTTCTTTTCTTTTAACACTCGATGTTGAACTTTCGCCAATTTCAACATTTGAAATCGATTTTTCCTCTTCTTTCTTCTTCTTCTTCTTCTCCTCCTCCTCGTTCTTTTCTTGTTCTTTTTCCTTGACGTTGTCAATTTTTTTCTCTCTACTTTCCTTTATCTCTTCTTTTTCTTTTTCCACTTTTTTCTCCTGTTTCTCCTCATCTGATTCCGATTCCATTATTTCCGTGCCACGTTTTCGATATTGTTTTCCCTTTCTACTTTTCGAAACAATCTTCAAAGCTTCTGCTTTTGTTTTTTCATCTGAACTCGAATCATTTACCGAAGAATCGTCTGCGTCTATATTTTTTTCTAATTTTATTTTTTTCTGATCAATGGATATTTTGGGAATGTCTACATTTGACTTTTGTTCTTGATTTTTGTCTATATTTTTCGAAGTAATTTCAAATCTTTGACTATATAAATGACGATAAATACCATCGATATTTACTTGTTTTGTAACATCGCCAATAGCTTCGAGTCTTTCCTCTTCTTTTTCGTCTTCTTCGAGTTTTTTATTCTCCTCGAGTTTCTTTCGATAGGAAGCAGTTACAAATTTCTCCTTGTCCTTAAACATATCACCCTCGGCTTCTCTTTCCTTTTGAACACTTCTCTCAATTCTCAATTCATTTTCGCGTTTTCGTTTCTCAGCATTTTGTAATAATTTTTTTATATACTTGGGTTCCTGTTTCTTTTTCTCTTCCTTTTTCTTTTCTGTGTCGACATGAATTTCTGAATATATTTCGTCGTATTGAAAAATTGTGGGATCCTCTTCTAATGCACGTTCGGCATTTATAAGAGCTTGCTTTTTTATTTGACTTTTTCCACTTTCAGCTTTCCAACATTTTTGAATTCTATCGACGCCATCGTCATCGTCCATGTCACTGTCGTCACCAAAAACATTCACTGCCTTCGGTGCTGAAAGTTGATTCTTTTTTGGCATTATTAAGCCAAATCTAAAAAAATACAATTATACAATTCGATATATCGATTGATATTTCAATATTTTTATTAATTTATTAATTCTATTTATTTCACAGGCCTCGGATCGAATTTAAGGCGCAAAAAAGTTGTTTTAGTCAATTTACATTTTAAAAAAAGTAGAAAAATTGGATTTTTTTATTTTCATTAAATTTAATTAGTTCATAAGTATTTTACTTTAAATAATTAATGTCATTAGATATTAAATCGATTTTATTAATTCCTTTATAAGAATAATTCTATAGGAATATTATCAAGAAAATATATTTCCAATATTTCAGAATCGAAGACGTAAATTTAAAATTTTTTAATTACGTTAAACTAATTTCTAAAAATAAATTCTGACAACAATTCAATTTTAGAGTTTTCATTTATAATTTTTTTTAAATAATCGAATTTAAAAAAAAATAAATTATTAAAAACAATTGAACTTTAGAAGTTATAGTTGAAATTTTTAGAAATATAATTAAATTTAAAAAGATTTTGTTAAATTTGAGACAATAATTAAATTTTACAGAATTGAAAATATAATTAATCAAATAATTTTAAATGACATGTTTTTTAAAAGTAATTGAATTTTCAAAGATTTAGAATTCAAATTTTTGAAATTAATTGAAATTCAAGTGATCTTTAATTAAAATTTTTGGTAATACATAAAGAATTTATTAGAAATTATAGACAAAAATTGTATTTCAAAAGTTTTTAATTGAAAAATGCTTTCAAATAATTGAATTTTTGAAGAATATTATAAAAATTATTTAAAATCATTAAATTTTGGAAGAGTTACAGTTGACCTTTTTAAAAATAATTAAATTTTAGAAGGTCTTAAATTTAAGTTTTTTGAAATTAATTGAATTGAAAATTTTTTGTGATTTCTGTTACTGAAGAATTTGATTAAAAATTAAAAACAAAAATTGAACTTCAAAATTTTTAAATTGAAAAATGTTTTTAGATAATTGAATTTTCGAAGAATATTATAAAAAATATTTAAAAATAATTGAATTTCAGAAGAGTTATAATTGAAATTTAAAAATTTTTAAAAGTTTTAGATGGAAAGTTTTTAAAATAATTAAATTTTAAAAGGTTTTAAATTGAAATTGTTTGTAATTTTAATTGTTTTTCTTTTAAATGTAAACAATTGTTGAATTTCATAAAATTTTTTATTGCAAAATAATTGAAGATAATTAAATTTATAAAGAATTTCATTAAAATTATTAAAAATAATTAATTTAGAAAAAAATTTTAGTTAAAAATTTATTAAATAATTGAAATAAAGAAGATCTGAAGAAGATCTGCAATGTGTCTGAAAAAAGACGTTTTTTTTTTAAAACATTTTGTCAAAAAAATGTAAAAAGAGTCGAAAAAGTCGAATCTTATTTAAATAAGTCGAAAAAAGTCATATTTTAGAAAAGAAGACAGAAAAAGTCGTATAATCCGAGGCATTTTTTTTAATAATAGAATTTCAAAAGATTTTAAATTGAAATGAATTTTTATAAATTTGAATTGCAGTAGTTTTTTTAAATTTCTGACAATAATGAAAATTGTAAAAGTTTTTATTTTAAACATTTTTAAATAATCAAATTAAAAAAAAGTATTAATTAATTAAAAATAATTAAAATTTGAAAAAGATACAATTGAAATTTTTAGAAATAATTAAATATCAAAAGATTTTAAGTTTTCAAGATTTTTCAAAATTTCAGACAATAATTAAATTTTACAGCATTTTTAATTAATTTAATTTTCGAAAAATTTGATGAAAATTTATTGGTTGAAAATAATTTAAAAGTTAATTTAAGATAACATTTGACGTTGAACTTAATTTTAAAACTGTAAATTAAGCTCTAACACCTCTTGTCCCCATTTACCCCAACTGACCCTAATTGAATTTTGGAAGAGTTATATTTGAAATTTTTAGAATAAATAAATTTCAGAATGTTTTATACTGAAAATTTTAGGTTTTTAAATTAAAACTTTTTAAAAGTAATTAAATTTAATGAACTCTATAATTTATAACGTTATTTTTTAAAGGAATTATTATTATTATTTTTTTTTAAAAGATCTACGTAAATAAAAAGAAAGTTATTTCTTTAGTTTTAAAATACAATTCAGTTCAAAAATAACTAGATAAATAAATAAAAAGTAATATTGTAATAATAATAATATTAATAATAACAAACAAAAACTAAAGTTTTTTTGAAAATACTTTTACAACTTTTATTTTTTATTAGTATAATAAAAATGTTCTGCATACAAATTTTAAATACAATAAAGATTAAATTAAGTAGAGAATTTTTATTTAACTTTAAAGTAAATTACATTTAAAAATTACGTGAGTGATTAAAGATTTTGATTTCAAAATAAATTTTGAGGTTAGGAAATTAAATGTTTAAAATAAATCCTTTTTGTATGCAAATATGAAAATGAAAGAATTTTATTATTGTTTTGAAAAATGAAGAAGATAAATTAACATTATAAAATTCATAATAAATGACTAATAATTTTTATTTTATCGCGTAATAATTAAAAATAAAAATTTGAGGTTAAAAATATTTTTGTTTTAACAAGACTAAATATTTATGTATGATTTATAAAGATTAGTTTAAAAAATGAAAAATAAAGTATAACTTACTGTTTCGCTGGCTTTCCCGACATTTTCTCTTTAATTTAAATGCAAAAAAGAAGGAAAAATGATATAGTTTTGTTTACGTATCTGAACGTATGTAACTAACAAGTGTGACAGACAATTCAATAAATATAAGGGATAACACATAACACACATAAGTTTCGAATTTCGACGAAATTTAATTGTGTGTTGACCTTTATGATCAATTATACATCGATTGTGAGTTATCGAATTTAAAATATCGATATTTCGATATTGCTATTATCGATACAAGGAGAAAGAAAACACCGAAACACGTGTTTATTATTTTTCCATTTCTTAGTTTATTTTTATTTTAAAAAACTCCGTTTTTACTTAGTTTATTCATTGTGTAGGTCATATTTATTAAGAGAAAAATGTTTTACGTGATAGGATTAGGCCTCGGGAATGAAAAAGATGTGACAGTCAAAGGTTTAGAAATAATTAAAAAATGCCACCGGGTTTATTTGGAAGCGTACACGTCAATTTTAACTGTTGGAAAAGAAACATTGGTAAGTTCTTTTTTTTTTAATTAATTTTTTTATTTCAATTACGCAATTGTTTATATTATTACAAATATACTATATATTATTATTGATAACTTAATTATTGAAAAAAAACTGCATGTAAATTGTAAAGATAATTTAAATTCTCGACTCGATTATAATTTGTATGAAGAAAGTGAGGTTATATTTTTCTAAACAATTTTTTTATTGAAATCGTTTGGTAATCGTATAGTAGTGTTCGATAATAATTTTTGGTTGTTTGGTAGCGAAAAATTATTAAATTATTTAATTTTTGGTTGAATTTAAAGTATATGAGGTGCTAAAAACTGTTAATTTTTTAGTCATTAGAAAACATGCAAAAAAAACATAGAATTTACAATAAAAAAAAAATTATTGGAATTTACTAAGAATGAATAAATTTATCATTATCAATTGATATAATTATTTAAAGATGTGATATAATAATAAAATATGATTTTCAAGTGCACTTGACAAATAACTTAATTTTACGATTTTTATTCATTAATTATAAAAAATAGGAAACATTAAATTAAATAAAATCATACCAAACATTTCTTTGCACTTCTCTTCTCTCTTTTTCATAAGTATAAAAAATTTTTAAACATAAAATAGCCACTTTGTTTATTTTTACTATTTTTAAAAGTCAATAATTCTTTTGAAGAAAAATGAAAAAATATGGGGTTTTGAAAATTATTTAAATGGACCGAAATTTTTAGTGTACATTTAAATAATTTTCGAAACCCCATATTTTTTTATTTTTCTCCAAAAGAGTTATTGACTTTCAAAAATAGTAAATTTTCACTATTAAAAATTTTTTTTTTATACTTATAAAGAAGAGAAAAGAAAAGTGCAAAGAAATTCTAAAATTTTATCTCAAGAACTTCATAGGTATTTGGTATGATTTTATTTAATTTAATAATGTTTCCTATTTTTTATAATTAATGAAGAAAAATTGCAAAATTAGTTTATTGTGTGTATTTTCACTACAAAAAATATTGAGATGTCCTTTTTTGATATTTTCGAGATATTAATTAATTAATTAATTATTGTTAATAAAAAATAAAATATTTTACAAATAAATAAAGTTATTGCAATTCTGAAGCTAAATATTGAAAGCTGACGTAATTCCGCATCAAATAAGCCCTATATGAACTATTTTGGATTGGAGGATTTTTTATAAACAATTGCAATGTTGGCCAATTATTTATTAACAATTTACTAATCCAAAATACATCATATAGGGACGCGCAATTATGTCAACTTTCATTCAGTAGCGTCAGAATTACAATAACTTTATTTTTTTATAAAATTAACACTAATTAATTAATTAATAAATATCTTGAAGACAAAGAAAAAGGACATTTCCATTTTTTTTTGTTGAAAGGATACGTTTTAAACTTTCTAAAAAAATTTGAACAATAAAAAAAGACCAATTTTGAAAAAAAGTCAAAAAAATTTTTGATTTAAAAAAAATGAAGTGAAATTTTGAAATTTTTTTTCACCAATCGAAAGAGCACAAAAAAACCTTTGGTAAACATATATATTTCAAAAAATTTTTCATCTACTTATATATAATAATAATAATACTAATAATAATAATAAACGTTCGCATCAATCTATTAAGGGGACATTCTGGGTTTTTTGCACATATGTCCAGCGTCAGGCAAAAGTCAGGGAAATTTTTTAGTCAGAAATAAGTGATTGGTATACGTTTTCCTTTTGGTACTTTTACTGTTGTTGGTATTTGTACTGTTGTTGGTATTTGTACTGGTGCTGGTATTGTTACTGGTGCTGGTACTTGTACTGGTGCTGGTACTTGTACTGGTGCTGGTACTTCTACTAGTGCTGGTATTGATACTTGTGTCCCATTACTGCAAAATTTCCAACAACAGTTAGAACTAGCCTTCGAACAACTGTCGTAACTTCTACAGTCACTAGAATTATATGTTTATATAATGAAACATTACTTAATAAAAAATGTCCAAAATTTTTAAGGAAGAGCCCTCCCCGCATAATTATTCAAAACAACAACCATTTAAGTTATCATTTTAATTAACGAGTACTAACGCAACGCTTTAAGGCCAGGTCCAAATGAGGCAGCGCCATCTATATTGAAACTAAAATTTTGGAAAATTACCAGCAGCCTTTTCTTGAAAACAAGAAGGTAAAATGCTTTTTTTTATGGATAATATTGATTATCAGCAAGAAATACACCAGCTAAAACTTTTTTTGGGTTAAAATGATGAAAAAAATTTCATGTCAATAAATTATATATGAGCACTTTTATTTACAAAATCTGTAACAGTACTTTCTCAGAAAGAAAATGTCAAGGAAAATGAGAGGAATAAATCTCTTTCAGAACAATTTTTTATAAATTTACAACTAAAAAAATTATTAAATAATAATTGTTGTAAAATTATAAAAAATTGTTCTGAAAGAGATTTATTCCTCTCATTTTCCTTGACATTTTAAAAAAAAGTAGACCTCAATCCGATTATTAGAACGGAAGATATAGCAGTTTAAAATTTTTTGTTATTATTGCAAATCTCGTAAACTAACAAATATTTTAAGCTGCAATTTACGTTAAAGATTAGTCTTACTATATATAAGAAAAATCCAAAGTTTCATTGCAATCGGTTAACCTACTCCGAAAAAGTCAAAATCTCACCTGGAATCGCACTGTTATTTTAGTGATTGGTAAATCTTAGGTGGTGTATTTTTTAGCGTTTATTAATTTTCCAAATGGAAATTGCATTTTTGATTGTAATTTCTGAGAAAGTACTGTTACAGATTTTGTAAATAAAAGTGCTCATATATAATTTATTGACATGAAATTTTTTTCATCATTTTAACCCAAAAAAAGTTTTAGCTGGTGTATTTCTTGCTGATAATCAATATTATCCATAAAAAAAAGCATTTTACCTTCTTGTTTTCAAGAAAAGGCTGCTGGTAATTTTCCAAAATTTTAGTTTCAATATAGATGGCGCTGCCTCATTTGGACCTGGCCTTAAGGGGTTAGTCGCAGTCACATTAGGGAAAAACGGTTTTTGCGGCAACCACTCCTGTTTCTCAGCGCGTTATTTAAAATCAAAAATTAAGATTATTTTTTTAGTTAATTAGTTTCAACGCTGTTAGACCGTAGCTTTTTAAAAATACTATTTTGAATAAAATGGCGACCGGTTAAATTCAGATTTCGACAAAATAAAGGTTTGGAATAAAATTTAAAAAATCTACGATTGTAAGAAGATTTTGCAAAAAGTTTTAGAATAGACCTAAAATAATTATTTTTGAATCGTTTTTTTATTTTTCGAAACAACACATTTTTTTTTTGTTAAGATCATTTACTTTACTCATAAAATTGCATTTTGATTTAAAAAAAAAATTTTAACAAAAAGTTTTATTAGTGCCACTCTGAAACATTTTACAAAATCTCAACATTTTTTCAGGAATGTATTTAAAAAAATAAATATACATATGTATAAAAATCAGGAACCTTCACAGTATCAAAAAAAATTCAAAATCAGAATCAAAAGTCAGCTATATTCAGTTTTGATTCTGGTACCTGAATCAAAAGTCTAGTTCATTTAAGTTTTGATTCCGAAATCAGAATCAAAAGTTAACTTAGTTTCGATTTGGTTTAGTTCCGGTTCTCTAACTGAAACAAGTCATATGTCGTAAGTTATTACGTCTTAAGTCTTACGTTTTAAGTCTCAAGTTTAGAGTCACATTGCGACGGATGTTATCGTTTCGATTACCAAACCGCATGAAAAGTACATTCTACTTTCGTTTTGTTACAAATATCGAAACAAAATCAGTATTCGACTTTCGTGATGGTCCCTGATAAAAATGAAAGCAATCCTTTAAAATGTAGATTATTCTTTTTTAGTTCTAACTAAAAAAAACTTTGCCTGATAATTTTTACAAAAAAAAAATTACTTAAATTGATAATAAATTTTAATTACCAATTTGTTGAGTTGCATATTGGGATTTCTAAATGTTGCTCCTGGTAGTTAATATTGAGCTTGAAAATTAATTTTTTTATAAATTAATGATAAAGTAAATTAATTAAAATTTTGAATTGTAAACATCAGTTGCAACATTATCTGATTTAAAACATTGCAAAGAAATATTTAAACCAGAGAGGAATTGAGAGTAAGCACGTAATGCAAATCGCGCTTTTCTATTAAAGTCTGCCCCCTCGCGGTCAAAATATCGAAGCTTAGGTGGTTAGCTATATATATTCCTTAAATCGGTGAGGCTACACACATACGCATAATGTAATGGCTAAGCCGAATGACTTTCGGAATTGATCGGGCGGGCTCGTGTATCTTTGCGTGAATTAGAGAAACAAACTGAAAACGAACCGTGCGGGCCTCATCCAATGTTTTGACTTTTTTTCAGATAAAGTATATGAACCGGTTTTTGAAACAATTCACTAACCGACAATATTTATAAGGTTAAATTTAGAAATTTTAATTTAAATTAGTAATTAAAATGCAATTTTAATTTATTATTTAAATTTCATTTTAAATTTTTATAAAATTTAGAATTCTACACGGAAAGACTTTGTGCATCACTTTCTGTCAAACTTGCCAAGAGATTTTAGTAAACTCGCGACCAAACTCGGAAAAAACGGAAAACTATCATTTTATATAAATGTTTTCAACAAAAAATGTTTTCTTTTTTATCAAAATTTAGTAGTCACGCTAAGAAATATTCGTTAACGCTGTAAGAAAAATTAAGATTAAGAAAAAATGAATATCAAAAGTATATTCTTTATATTTGTAAGAACGACATTTTCATTGTGTCGTGTTTACAATTTAGTAGTCTCACGATGAAAACAGCACGCATACAAACAAGCGAAGCTTGTCCATGTAGCGTCAGCAGTTGAATAGTTCCGGCATAGATAGAAAAATGTCTACACAACGAACACTTTTAATAATCCTGTTTGCATAAAAAATTAATTCTGACATTTCCTAAAATTGACCTTATTAATAATATTAAATAATTTATTTTTTTGAAATTTTTTTATTGCACTTGAAATAAGTTTAAACATAATAAAAATTTTCTCGTAAGTGGAAATGAAATGGTGAGATTAATATATAAGAAAAATAAACTGCCCTCTTGATATCGTTGATATGAATTGTATTTGCGTTGCGTCGGTTAAAGCGATCGTTTACCCTATCTGTATTTTAGACGATTTTAGGTTAAGATGTGATCTCTCGTTCATAGGTAAATTGGATTTCTACATTACTTATCAATTGTCGATATATATACGTATATATGGAGTTTCAGATGGCAACTTTAGTAGTCACGCTATTAAAAGCTATGTATATGTTTTTTTAGTGAAACTTCAGATTTTATTTTTTGATCGACTGACTATTAAATTTTAAAATTCTCAACAATCAATTATTGTACATCAGTAACTTTTTTCTGATTTTAATAGTCAGACTACGAATTATTAATATCTTTCCTTTTTTTCTGAGTTTGGTAAAAAGTTTACTAAAATCTCGTGGCGAGTTTAACACAAAGTGATGCACAAAGTCTTTCCGTGTAAATGTTCTCTCTTCGAATGCATATAGTTGAATAAGTACGAAATTCGTTTTCAATAAATCTTATCATAATTATTTTATAATAAGTAAAAAAAATTTCGATATTACAATATTATCATTATTTATTTAATTCAGTTAAATCATAGATTAGTAATGTGAAATAATGTGCTTTTGTCAAAGTCATATTAAAAGAAAAATTAAATTCTTTTTATTATTTTGCCGTTAAAATTTTTGAAAAATATTTTTTGTAATATTATAATAAAATTTTAGAATTTAAAAATTTTACCTAATACTGACAACAATGTTTATAATTTAATTCTTAAGAATGTTCTCATTTTATTTAAAATTGAATTAATTTTTTATGTCTATTTAATAGTTTATAAAAAAATATAATTTTTTTTCATATTATACTTTTAAATTTTCGATTTGTAAATGCTTACACATTATAAGTAGCTTACACTTTTTAAAATATTAAATTTAAAAACATTTTGTCAAGAGATTACATGTTTTAACTTAAAATAAATAAATAAAATAATCAATTTTAAAAAATATTTTATAGGTTTTTAAATCAGAAAAATTGTTTTTGTAAATTAATTAATTATTTTTTCTTTGGGCTTGTCCAAGTAAAAAATGATTTAATTTTAAATAAAATGAAAATATTCTTAAAATTTAAATTGTAAACATTGTTGTCAGTACCTATTAAAATTACCCACAATTTAATACATTATTAATTTGTATAGAATATTCTATGGTGTTTAGTTTCACATTATTATTTATGTTTAACTAAATTAAATAAATAAAGATAATATTTATAAAAATTATGTCAGTTTTTTTACTTTTCAATAGTGTTATTAAAAAAATCTATTTTTTATTAAAAAAGTAACAATTTTTTATAAACAAATTAAAGTTTTTTTTAATTTGTATGTGATTTTTTTAAAACATACCTGGAAATAAGAAGAAGATTTAGTGAAAAAATTTATGGTCGGCCAATAAGTTTTATATTTTTATGTATTTAAAAAAAACACCACTTGCAGCATTGTGCACATTTTTGAATAGTAAAAACAATTGGTAAATTGTTAAAAATTATTTAAAATAATTTTTTTTGAAACCTGAAATTTTATTTCACTATGAAAAATGAAAGAAAATGTTTTAACTATTTAACAATTTTTTTTACTTTTCAGAAATGTGCACAATGCTGCGCGCAGTGTTTAAATGTTTATTTAAACCTATAATCTTAGTTATTTCCAGTATTTCTTAGTATTTTCAGGTATGTTTAAAATTTTTTTTTTTAATCATATTCCAATTTAAAAAAACTTAATTTTTTTATTTTTTAATAAAAAATGAAAAAAAAAATTTCGTTAACATTATTGAAAAGTAAAAGATAAACTGGAACTTTTCTTCTCTTGGCAAAAATTGAAAAAATCCAGTTTTTTGTCTACATTTACAAAACTAAAATTTTGAAAATTTATAACTCGAAAATTTGCATAAAGAAAGTATCTTTTTTTCACTACAGAACACGAAAAAATTATATTTAGCTGAAATTAAAGGGTCGACTGAAATCTCACGTGAAATCACCCATACTTTTAAGAAAAACATTTTTTAATTAAAAATTTATAATAATTATGATAAGATTTATTGAAAACGAATTTCGTACTTATTCAACTATGCATTCGAAGAGAGAACATTTAGAATTCTAAATTTTATAAAAATTTAAAATGAAATTTAAATAATAAATTAAAATTGTATTTTAATTACTAATTTAAATTAAAATTTCTAAATTTAACCTTATAAATATTGTCGGTTAGTGAATTGTTTCAAAAACCGGTTCATATACTTTATCTGAAAAAAAGTCAAAACATTGGATGAGGCCCGCACGGTTCGTTTTCAGTTTGTTTCTCTAATTCACGCAAAGATACACGAGCCCGCCCGATCAATTCCGAACGTCATTCGGCTTAGCCATTACATTATGCGTATGTGTGTAGCCTCACCGATTTAAGGAATATATATAGCTAACCACCTAAGCTTCGATATTTTGACCGCGAGGGGGCAGACTTTAATAGAAAAGCGCGATTTGCATTACGTGCTTACTCTCAATTCCTCTCTGGTTTAAATCACTTGAAAGCCAGTCAGAGGTACCAAAATGTGTAAAAAATGAAAATTCGAAATTTAAAATTATGAAAAATACCACCTTATAGTGAATAAAAATGCGCATCTTTTTTTCCTTTAAGATTTTTTTGCATAATGAATATTTTGGATAATAATGACAAAAATGTCATAAATTTTAATTCCTAAAATTCATTGAATTTTTAAACATAAATTGTCGTATCTTCGACAAAAATTGGAGAATTCTCTTGATATTTGGTATACAAATGCATTTGGGTCTATAGAAGACGACAATATTATGAGAATGTTAAAATTAATTAATTGTTTAACAATTTTTTATTGTTAATATTGACCCTGTCGGAAAATATGTTTCCTATTTTTGGCTGCAAAAAGTATGCGGGGAAGTTTCAAATTTTAACAACTTCCAGTGAGACATTTGTTCATTATAATGTAAAGAAGTTTTCTGTAAAGTTGCAGAAAGATTGATTTTTTATTTACAGAAATACAATAGTTTTTAACAAGTTGCGCGCGCCGTCAACGATCGCAAACGTGGAGTTTTTAAAGACACTTGTAATGTATTAGATACAATGTATTAGAATTTTCTATATATGCTGTAACAACATTTAATGCTATTTTAAATTATGTTAAATCTGGTAAAAACCTTATAATAACTATTAAAATATAATTATTTTAAAAATTACAATTTTTAAAAAATAGTTAAAAACAAAATATTTCCAGATTTCTAAACAATAATATTCACGTCTAAAAACGTTTTAAAATTATTTGTAATATTTCAATTTGCACATATATCACATTTTATACTATTATTAAAAAAGTATAAATGTTGTATATTATATAATAATAATATTATATAATAATAAAATTATATAATATTATATATATAAAACCTTGCCAAGCAAGTGTCTTTAAAGACTCCACGTTTGCGATCGTTGACGGCGCGCGCAACTTGTTAAAAACTATTGTATTTCTGTAAATAAAAAAGCAATCTTTCTGCAACTTTACAGAAAACTTCTTTACATTATAATGAACAAATGTCTCACTGGAAGTTGTTAAAATTTGAAACTTCCCCGCATACTTTTTGCAGCCAAAGATAGGAAACATATTTTCCGACAGGGTCTATATTAACAATAAAAAATTGTTAAACAATTAATTAATTTTAACATTCTCATAATATTGTCGCCTTCTATAGACCCAAATGCATTTGTATACCAAATATCAAGAGAATTCTCCAATTTTTGTCAAAGATACGACAATTTATGTTTAAAAATTCAATGAATTTTGGGAATTAAAATTTATGACATTTTTGTCATTATTATCCAAAATATTCATTATGCAAAAAAATCTTAAAGGAAAAAAAGATGCGCATTTTTATTCACTATAAGGTGGTATTTTTCATAATTTTAAATTTCGAATTTTCATTTTTTACACTTTTTGGTACCTCTGACTGGCTTTCAAGTGACTCGCCGAGCGTACGTCCCCTTATTGTATCCAAGCACTCAATTCCTCTCTGTTTAAACATATTAAAAGTGTAACAAAATAGGGTGCCCACAACCGGGAACTACTTTTTTTTCCTAAAAGTGATCACTTCACTAAATTTTTAATAAAATCTTTTCAGTTGAAGGAATCAATTTAGGTTTTTTGCAGTTACATAACGCCTCTAGATTGCCACTGATACACACAAGTCTCATAATATGCATTTGGTTAAAAGTTATAAACCATAAACAAAAGGGTTTATATTTAATTTTAATTAAAAAACAACAAATATGTAAATATAGTTTAAAATCTCCCAAATAATATATAATTTTACATTAAATCAACTAGAAAATATGTTTTAAACAAATTTAAATATTTTCAACTATATAGCAATGCAAAAATAAGTTCGAATTATATATGTATAATATATTTGTTCCAAAAATATTGTATAAAATTATACAAAAATATTTAATCTGAACAATTATTTTATTAATGCAAATTTAATTAACTTATAATTACATAATATAAAAAATATCAAAATAGTCTACATTTACCTACATTTACAATACAATCGTCAAAAACCACTCAAATTATAAGTATCAAAAATTTTATTTTTTTAAAAACGACCATAAAAATAGTTAATATTAACAAATTATTAAATAAACTATTGATTCCAATTTTTTAATTCCTTTTCAAGAACTAGTTCAAAGCAGAAATAATTTGATTGATTTTTGACAATTTTATATCAAAACGGGTGTTTTATGTTATTTCAACTGTAAGTTTCGTGGGCTTTTGAGTGACCTTTAATTATTTTTCAATTAAAAAAAACATGTACAAGTATATTTTTTACACTTCAGGTTAAATTTTTGGAAAATGAAAGCAACATATTTTTGTTTATTGTCATTTTGGACCATCGTAAAATATATTTATTAAAAATATTATTCGAAAATAAAATAAAAATTAATAAAAAACTTACAATTGTTAATGAACCATTGCTGGGCCTTGCATCAGAAGAAATCAAAGTAATAAGCAAAATTCCAAACATTATGGAAAATAATTGAGATTTATTCATTTTGTTATACATTGTCCCTTACTTAAATAGTATTTGTCGTGTTTGCTGTCGGTTTATGTATGCGAAAATGCTTCTTTGTTCTGCAAAAATTTGATAATAACTTTATAAATCATTTATTTTGTTCTCCGAATTGAAATTTACGTTTAACACAGCTAGTAATTGTGTTGATTTTGATTCTGGTGGGGTTGAATTTAATCGGCATGTATTTTGGGAGATTTCTAGTCTCCTTGAAGTCCTTAAAAAACGTTTCAGTTTATTTGTACTCAAATAATTTTTTATTTTCTTTAAACTCAGACAAACTTTTTTTTGAGGCGGATGATTAAACCACAAATTTGTTTTTTCGAATTTTTATTTTCTCGAAAATCGTTTTATCTAAAAGGAATCGACTATAATTTTTACATTCTCATCACATGAGAAGGTATTATAATTGGTCGAAAATTGACTTTTTCTATTTCCATGAAATCTTTACGTTTTGAGGTGCCCTGAGTCGAAAAATCATGGTCCGGCGAAAGTGTCTCTCTCTGTGTCTGTATGTATGTATGTGTGTGTATGTATGTATGTATGTATGTAGACACAAAATGTTGTTGACACAATAACTTTTTAATTGAAAAAACTATTTGAAAAAAATAATGGATATGTGATACTATTCCCTTAAATGTATTCGTTCGCTCAAATGTTTCATATATTTGAAAAATCCAAATACTCAAAAACACTTCCAATTCCGCATCATACATTCGAGCGTTAAACGCGAGTGCCATGATGAGAATGTTGTCCGTAAAGTCGAAGAACTTTAAGAAAATTAATCCTATATAATAATAATATAATTATTATATATAATTTTTATCTTAAAATATTATCATATAATATTAAATGTAGAGTAGCAGAACATTTGGAGCGCGTAGCGCGACGAAGTGCTCTTCGCGCGTCCCAAGGCGCGCTCAAACCCGCTACCCCGAAGGGGGAGAGGGCAGATTTTTTGAATTCGAATCGTCAGATTATATAATAAAAATACTTTCGAATTATTATTTGACAGAATTTTTTAACTTCGAAAGAACATTTTTTATAATTTTCAATAAACCGAATAATCATTTCTCATAATTATTATTGTAGAGAATTAGTATTTTTCATAATTTTTATTTTTCCAAAAACCTGTATATACTATTTTTTATTTTACATAATTATCATTTTGTATAATAAATATTTTTTCGAACAATTATTTGTTCTAAAATGTAATTTACCAAATTTATACTTTTTCTATTTTTAAACGTAACGTTTAGCAATTTTATATAATTATGAGAAATGATTATTCGGTAAATTAAAAATGATATAAAATAGATAATCGTTACTTAATGTATTCGTCTAGAAATAGTTACTGGGGAGTTTTCGGGGTCGCTGATTAAGAATCCGATGTCAGTTTTTCAAAATTCAAAATGGCGGATCCAATATGGCGGACAATTTTTTTAAAAATCGCTTATGATAGATTAGATCCTCTATTTTAAATTTAAAAAACTGACATCAGATTCATTTTCAGCGACCTCGAAAACCGCCGAGTAAAGAGTTTAAAAGAAATCCGAACGATTTTAAAAAAAGTCCGGCATATTGGATCCGTCATTTTGAATTATGAAAAACTGACATCGGATTCGTAATCAGCGACCCCGAAAACTCCCCAGTAACTATTTTTAGACGAATACATTATGTTTTTTCAAAAGTCGTCCGCCATACTGGATCCGCCATTTTGAATTTTGCAAAAATGACATCGGATTCTTAATCAGCGACCCCGAAAACCCCCGAGTAACAAATTTTACAAGGATCAAAAAAAGGTATCGCTTTATTTAATAATTTGTTATATAATTTGTTTATAACAAATTACACGGAGAAAAAAGATTTCTTTTATAAAGTAACTTTTACTACTTTCAGAGTAAAACTGGACCAACTCGAAGTTTCTGCGCATCTCTGGCAATTTTTACTCCAAAAATAGTAAAATTTACTCTAGAAATAGTAAAACTTACTACGGAAACAGTAAAATTTACTACAGAAATAATAAATTTTACTATTTTTGGAGTAAAAATTGCCAGAGATGCGCAGAAACTTCGAGTTGGTCCAGTTTTACTCTGAAAGTAGTAAAAATTACTTTTTCTTTTTCTCCGTGTACGTGTGTTCTACTAGAACATAATTTTACAAATCACAAATCTAGGATTATTTTAAATGTCTAATAATAAAAAAATATTTTGATTTTATTGACATATTCATACGATTCATAGAAAAAAAGTACTTTTCATTTGATTATTTAAATTAATATAATTATATATATGCAAAATGAAAATTAAAGATTGGGTTTCAGCAATTTCTTAAAAATTTAATGAGGATTATTTTAAGTCAAGAAAATCGAAAAATGTTAAAAAATTATTAGTTTTACTCTGTTTTTAGTGCTTAATGTATATCTTGTCTCAAAAGTGCTACACGAATGACAACCAGACGAATGAGAATTTGTCAATTTTTTTTAAAAAAAAGGTTGAAACAACATTAAATAAAAAAAGCAGTTCTATCCGATATAGAATAATAATTTGCAATACTTAAGCCTATAAAAGGACCTAAAAATACTATTTTTTTTTTTTTAAATGGATGCCAGACGAATGAGAATTTGTCTGGTCACAACACAATTTCCGTTACAAATTGAGCAATCTTGGTTAATAGAAAAACATATTAAATAAAACGCGCGTGGCATCACATATAGTTCAGTTTAATTAACAACAATAACGAACTGTAACTTCATCAGAATGTTGATTTTTAATAATTTTAACATGTTTTCAACTGCCAGACGAATGATAACAAAATCTAGGGACAAAATTCGAGAAGATATTTTATAAATAAGGTATAAAGTAATGTCATAACTATTTCCACATTAATAATCTACAACTGTTCAACATTACTAATGCAGTATGAATTTTCTGCTAAACAATTGAAAAATAAAATTTTTTCACAATATGAACTGTCATTTGCACTACGGGACATGCCAGACAAATGAGAATTTAGCACTTTGATGTGTATTTTTTAGTGCCACAATAGAAACAATTTAGATTTACAATTTTCATCAAAAATAAAATTATTTTTTTCAAAATTAATATACAAAATAAGCCTCACCAGTCAAAATTCACTCGTTTGTAGAATCACCCATATAAGAGAATGAGAAATTTTACTATTACTAAACTTTGTTTTTAAAAATACGTAAATTTGAAATTTAGAGATAGAAAAATATATAATTTTAACTGCATGCCATTAAGATATATCTTTCTTTTATTTTTCATTTTGCATGCATCTTACATAAAAAAAAATTTTTAAATTTTCCTCAAAACTTTATTAGTTTCTTAATTTCTTTTATTTATTGTTCTTTTCAAATAAATATATTTTTTTCAACACAAATTTTTTAAGAAGTAACATTTTTTCGTAAATCTATTACAAATTTATTTTTATCTTCAAATTTTTAAAACTCAATTTATTTAACCCGTAAAGGTAATATGGGGTCAGAATGACACGAGAAAAATTATTCGGCTAGATCTCTTAAAATTAGTCGTTCAAAAAGATAAATTTTAAAATTGACAATTATTTTTAATAAAATAAATGAATTTTCTAACTTTAATTTGAATTTTTTGTTCGAAAGTATAATATCCAATGAGTTTAAAACCAAAATTATGTTTATTTTATTTTAAGAATTAAAAAATGGACATATAATTTTTCGTGTTTTTGTGGATTCTGTTGAATTCTCATAGAGGTTGTTTTAGTTCCAAGGGTTGCACTTCAGAATATGTTCAGACATCTTTGATGACTTCAAGAGTCGTTTAAACATGTTAATTAAAGATTTATTTTTTTTTAATTTTCTAGACAATTATTTCGAATTTGTTTAAATAAATATTCGACAAAAACATTTCTGTTATAATTTTAAAATTAACCTATAATATTTTCTTGGGTGATTTTTTATAAGATAATTTTAAAATTATCGACCAAAACTTTTCTGACGGAAGTCAGAATTTTATTTATATAAATAAAGAAAAATTACTGTCATTTAATAAATAATTGATTAATAATAATTAATAAAAAACTTTGTTAGTAATTTAAAGTTATAAATTAGTTTGTAGCAGATTTATAAAAGAAGTTTTACTACTTTAAAATTTATTGGTTTTGAAAAATATATCTATATGAAAAGAAGAATAAATAAGAAATCTAAGGTTATAAAATTTTTAAATTTTTTTTATGCATAATGCACATGAATTTAGAAACAAATATCTTAATCGCATGCGGTTTACATTAAATATATTATTTTATTTTTCTTAATATTGTTTTTTTTTATATTTTTTATTTATAATTCTAGATCTCAATTACAAATTAATAACTTTTTCCTAATTCTAAACAGTAAAAATTTTTTTAAGTTAAGATAGAGAAAAAATTTTTACGTTTTTGAATTAAGAAAATGTTATTTAATTTAAAATTTCTACTGGTTTTTTTTAACTTAAATAAATATTTGTTTTTTGGACATAAAAAATGTTTTGGTAGTTAAATATAGCGACACAGATGAAATTTGATTTTAATAATTTTGTGAACTGTTGATATTTAAAAAAATAGAAATTTTACAACTTTAAAACTTTGTTTTCAAAAATACGTGAATTTGAAATTCAGATCTAGAATTATAAATAAACAAGTTGTAAATTCAGATGTTCATTACATGAACATTTTGCTTCCTCTTTACACTTCCTCGTGGAGAAAGCAAAATTTTATTGCCAAAATGTCAATTTTTGATTTTTTAACTTTCATTAATTCTTTAAATTTACTTCAAATGTATACTTTATATATATCGATCGATTCGTCTTGACGTAAGGAATACAATTATTTCATATATAAACTTCAATTTAAAAAATCACAAAATTTTATAGCCTAAATGTGAAATTTTGATTTTTTTACTTTCATTAATTTTTTAAATTTACCTTAAATGTATACTTTATATATATCGATCGATTCGTCTTGACGCAAGGAAAACGATTTTATTATATATAACCTTAAATTTTTCTATTTAAAAATTTTTTCGATTAAAAAAAAATTTTTGGAAAAAAGACGATAAAATTTTTTTTTGGGATATTTTTCAAAATCCTTAGGTCAGATTTGAGATATTAATATGATAAATGAGCCTACCAAATTTTATCTAAATCCATTAAAACCTGTTAAAGTTATCTTCTAAACAAAAAAGGGATCCACACACACACACATACATACATCCGGACAATTGATCAGGATCTCATATAACATGTTTCTATAAAGAAAAAAATTTGTTTCCGCCACTTTGAAAAGTTTTATAAATGAAAGGACTACAAAGCTTCCTCCACGAGGAAGCAAAAATATAAAAAAACCAACAATATTAAGGAAAAAAAATGTTTATAATGTAAATTGCATGCGATTAAGATATTTGTTTCTAAATTCGTGTGCATTATGCATAAAAATATGTAAAAATTTTATAACCTTAGATTTCTTATTTATTGTTTTTTTCAAATAGACATATTTTTCAAAACCAATAAATTTTAAAGTAGTAAAAAATTTCTTCGTAAAAAATTAATAACAATTTTTAATAAAGAAATGAAAACAAATGGATGTTTGAAAATTTGATGATTTTTATTAGTTTATAATTTTATTGTTCATTAAAAACAACTTTTTAATAAAACTGTATTTTGTACAATTTTAAAAACCAATTATTTCAAGAGAAAATTTGTTGTCATATAATGTAATTGTCATTTGGGGTCAAGCGGGCAACAGAACAGTTGCTATTCCCCTTCCACTTAATTCTGTAACTGAATTTTAGTTAAAGATCTAATCTATAAAATCCAATACGGTTTTTCTAAATTTAAAATTTTCTGCATATTGAAAAAATAAAAAAAGAAATTGCAATTTCTTTTTAAATTAATTCATAAAAAATGTAATTCTTAAGATAAAATGAACATAATTTTGGTTTTAAACTCATTGGATATTATACTTTAGAACAAAAAATTCAAAATAAAGTTAGAAAATTCATTTATTTTGTTAAAAATAATAGTCAATTTTAAAATTTATAATTTTGAACGATCAATTTTAAGAGACCTAGCCAAAAAAATTTTCTGGTGTCATTTTGACCCCATATAACCCTTACGGATTAAATTAATTGAGTTTTAAGAATTTAAAGATAAAAATGAATTTGTAATAGATTTACGAAAAAAATTTGTGTTGAAAAAAATATATTTATTTGAAAAGAACAATAAATAAGAAATTTAAGAAACTAATAAAATTTTGAGGAAAATTTTGAAATATTTATTTTTATGTAAAATGCATGCAAATTGAAAAATAAAAGAAAGATATATCTTAATGGCGTTCATTTAAAATTATATATTTTTTTAACTCTAAATTTCAAATTTACGTATTTTCAAAAACAAAGTTTTGTAATAGTAAAATTTCTCATTCTCTGATATATATGAATATTTTACAAAACTACCTATATGTTCGAATTAATTTCCGTAAACAAATTTTTTGTCGATAGTTTTAAAATTATCTTATCAAAAATCACCCAGGAAAATTTTATTGGTTTAATTTTAAAATTCTTACAGAAATGTTTTTGTCGAATGTTTATTATACAAATTTCAAAGTAATTATCTAGAAAATTACAAATTTTTTTAATCCTTTAATTAACATTTCAACGATTCTTGAAGTCATTAAAAATGTCTGAATACATACTGAAGTGCAACTTTTAGAACTGAAACAACCTTTATAAGAATTCAACAGAAACCACAAAAACACGAAAAATTATATGTCCATTTTTTATGAAAACTTGCCTCTACATATTCAATCTTAACCAATATTTTTTTGATTTCTTTTTCTACATTTCTAAAATTTTGTCTTTTATTGTTATATTTCTAAAAAATCATCTCTTCTTTTATCACCAAACCATAATAATCACGTATGTACTACACTTTATTTCGACAACCTGATAGTTATTTCAAAACAAAATAACCTACAAAGAGGGGGGTCGAGGCGTGTCGTAGACGATGCAAAATTTCAGGTTTTGACAGTAAAGAGGCAACGGAATACAATACGAGCAAAAAAAATTTTAGAAACATTTTAAATGAAAAAGAAAAACTATTTTTTAAAAATCTTTCGGAATCTATAGATAATTGCCGAGATTCTCAAACTTTATGGAATTTAATCAATAGATACAGACCAAGACTGAATTCTTCTAATGACATAAATCTTGACCGATGGTTTGAATACTTCAGCCTCCTCTTTCCTTCCCGCACCAGTTGTTCTATATCAGAATTCGAGGGTGTTTATCACCCCTTACTGGATGATCGGATCACGCCCGAGGAGCTAATGTGGGCATTAAAAAATTCAAAACCAAATAAATCTCCAGGTCCAGACGGTTTAAATTACGAATTCTATAAAAATCTCCCAATAAACTGGATATATTACATGGAAAACTTATTTAACAAAGTTTTGTCAGACGAGGTGGTTCCTCTTGCGTGGTCCGTAATGCATGCCAGTATGCTACACAAAAAGGTGATAAAAATGAATCTGCCAACTTTCGACTTATCTCGTTAATAAATTGCATTTCAAAACTATTTACTCAGGTTCTTAACGAAAGATTGGCAAAATGGAGTAACGAATGTGACGCACTCCCTGAGTTCCAATCAGTCTTCCGAAGGGGAAGGGGATGCATTGACAACATCTTTATTGTCAATTCGCTAGCTCAAATTTATTTAAATAAGAAAAAAGGTAAATTGTATGCCCTATTCGTTGATTTTGTAAATGCATTCCCTTCAATTAAACACAGGCTTTTATGTCAAAAATTGCTAAATATCGGAGTGAGTTATAAATTCATTAAAATTTGTAAAAACCTCTACGATAATGCCATTATATCAGTCAGATCACAGAAGGGTATAACGACACCAGTTGAGGTCACAGAAGGCGTTCTCCAGGGAGAGACTTTAAGGCCTTTACTTTTTTCTTTATTTTTAAACGACTTTGAAACATTTTTTAGAGAAATGAAACTGAATGCACTTTTAAAACTGTTATACAGCACTCATGTTAATAACTGGGACGTTAAAGAAAAATTACTGATCTCTCTAGTCACCAGTGTACTAATGTACGGGATAGAAGTTTGGGGAGTGCGTCTTTTAGCAGAAATTGATTCAATACAGACCACATTCTACAAAAGACTTCTCTCACTTCCCTTGTATTGCCCGAACTATGCAGTCAGACTCGAAGTCGGTGCCCCTGTCTTATCTAGCGT